TTGAGACGAACGTTTTGGTGTTGGTTTGATCTCTGTACGACATTCCTACTGGCTGCTAGGGCCGTTTTAGTGGGTTTTTCTGTAACTAGGTGGCGCTAGAGAGCATTTTTGTATTTATTTATTTTTTTTAATTTTATCAAATTTTTCACCAATTCGGACGTGTGTGCCAATTTTGGTGAGTTTTTGAGCGTGTTTAGGGGGTCAAATTAAGGGTTTTGCGTGCGTCAAGCAAATAAGAAGAAGAAGAAAGAAACGAAGTGGGCAAGGACCCTAATAATGCACTAGTAAACAATATACAGTATTAGATGTAAATCTGGTATGTAAAAACATGAGTCGACTGCAGTTTATAAACTCTGTGGGCATAATTTATAAATCATCAGTGAAGTTGCAATGTACAAGATGCTCAGATAAATCTTTCTGCCGTCTCATGCTGCAGGTATTTAGTACACTCAGAGGAAAAAACTCCTGTTAACATTTTGTCAAACCTGGATTATTGTTGTTGACTGGGTCTGTATCAGAGTAAACTTTTACATTTATGGAAATTTCAGTTTGTAATAGATTGAAACTGCGGAGTGATTTTATTATTATTATTTTAAATTTAGGCAGGTGAACTGTGTTTTTGACTAATGCTGGTGCTGAAATATGGAAAGAGTCTTCCCAAAATCGCTCCCCACAACTCAAAGTATGCGTCTTGTGCGTTTCCGTCTTTTTAAGATGGCATGCAGTTCAGCCTCATGTTAAAAGTGATATGATTCCTACAAGGTCTGACCTAGGAAGATTACCATTGCAAATTTCATGGAAAAGTGAGCAGGATGTTCATTCAAATAATAAGCCAAGACATTCAGATGCTCTCAGATTAGTGGAAAGCAGAGCATATCTGAAAGGAGCTTTGGAGTACGAGACCTAATAGACCAAACCTAACATGTACATATGACTGATTATTAGTGCTCTTTATTCATGAAAATATTACATTGATATCTCTGTTGAATCAAATAGTTCCCCTACATTTAAGGAAGTACCCAACATTTCAGGAAATATGCTTGTTTTCTTGCCAGAAGTTACATTAAAAAACGTTAAGACTTCATAGGGGAATTATGTGCAGGTCTGGATGCTACAACTTCTACTAAACCACAACTTATGGTTTTATGCTTTACCTTTGTCTGAAATTGCAAACAAAATATAATTGGCTAATTAGCTAGCTGTAGAGGTGCAGACGGGCTGTTTTTGTTTGCTTTGGTCAGAGGCAGGCTGTTTGAGTTAGGTTACCAGCTACCAGCTGTAGCTTCATATTTACTGTAAAGATACGCAAGTTGTTTTCAGTCTTCTCATCGAACTTTGAGCAAGAACATGAAGACATACATTACCCAAAATGTCCAACTACTCCATTAACCCTCTGAGCAGTTTCTTGTTGTATTTTTTTGTTCCTGTTTTTTTCCTGCAATATAAAGTCCTGCACCTCTGTGGAAACAGCACAACCACGACGAGCAGTAGATCGAACTCAAAAATGTCTTCTGTGCAGTATGGCACAGTTTTAATGCCATAAATCTTAAAAAGAGAAAGTAAAGGTGAATTTGTTTGATTATTTATTTTCTTAGTGCGTGTCAAGGTCTGTGATATATCAGACCGTAAGTTGGTTCTCTTAGCCAGCATGGTAGATGCAGGAGAAACGGGCAGGTGTAAAGACCTGAATGACTTTAGCAAGGGTCAAATCATTGTTGCCAGATGACTGAGTCAAGGAATCTCTAAGACAGCACAATTTATGGGGTATTTGTTTTTTGTTTTTTTTACTGCTGACCAGTGGTAAATACCTGCTGATGGTGTTTGACGCTTTTAGTCTCATGTGATTCACTAGATGTAGACTTTAAGTATAAAATGCACATTTCTTGCAGCATTTTCCTCCGCTTTCTTCTCTTGTCTTTGTGGTATTGTTTTGAAAATTACCTTTACTACGGGAAACAACAAAAACAACCTCCGAGCAGCACCATACACACTAAAAATAACAAGTTTTACCTCTATTTTGCACCATCACTTTTGCAAGGATACCATCACTGTATCCTCAACTTAGCACTGCTCAAACTGGCAGTGATTGGTTTAAAAAAAACACGAATGAACCAGTGTTTTTTTTTTCTGTCTCAATGGCAGAATAACAATCAGGTGCAGTAGAACCATTTTCTGTTGCTGTACACATTTGTCTGGCTTTGCAATGCTAGAAAATGTTTGATCTGCAGGTGGTCCAATTCGCAGCTTCCAGGACTTCAAGGCTCTGCTGCTGACATTCTGGTGCCAGATATCACAGAGACCCTAGAGAGGTTTTGGAGAGTCCAGGCGTCAGTGGGTCAGAGTTGTTTTAGCAGCACTTAGCAACACATTTGGCAGGAGTGTTTTAGTTCATTAGCACATAAGAAAGTTGTGGTACCAGTGATAGCTGTCATAAAATAACCATTTTTAAGGTTAAAAAATGAAGCCTTAATGACATTTTTATCTGATCTTGCAGGGAATCCTCACCTACTTTGCCTTTGGTCGTTTCCGCCATGGTGTAAATGACGCCCACGTCCCAACCTACACGGAGCCGCCACCGGATCACCACAGCCCCTACCCTCCGACCTACGCCCCCATGTCCTACAACCCCACCACCTACACCCCCACCACCTACACAGCCTATCCCAGCGTCATTCCCGACCTGAGCCAGCAGCCCGCCTTCACACCGAACATCCAGCCGCAGGTTGACTCTGGCTACCAGCCGCCAAAGTACTGAGACAAAGGGAGGCCACGTGGATGGGGTGGTGTTCCGGGTCATCTTTCCGTACTCTGACTGCAGCTGCACTGCCCTGACATGCAGCTATATCATATTGATGTGGTTTTACATTTGATTTAACACACTTTTCCAGCATTTGAGAAACCAGAGCAGTGCGGCTTCAGGTTAGAGATGAGGGACACCACTGTTTACGTCAACGGGTCTGAGATCAGATCTTGAAACATCAGGTTGACTGTTGAGATTAGAGCTGGTGGTTGAGCAATCTGACTTTAGACGTGCGTGCAAAGACGCAACTTTTACCTCAATAGGGCTGATCCTGCAGGGGGAGGGGTAGAATGTATTGCACAATGTGACTTTGTGAAGAATACGACAACACCAATCAGAGAACACACAACGCGTTTCTCTTGGCTCTGGTGGAACCTAAGGATATACATTTGTACATATATTTCACTATGCAAAAGTGCCATTTCAACAGTGTCTGATCTTTTCTTATTTGGTTGAGTGGATTCTTCCTTTTCAGTTTGTTAATCCTGAGGACGCATTAACTGTTTAGGATGTGTTAAATTAATTTAGCAAATGGGAAATGACTGTAGTGGGAAAATGTAAAGCCAAATGTCCCTCTGAACGAGTCATAGTTTGCGAAGCGTAGAATTTGTTCACTGTACAACCAGAAAATCCCCTTTGGAAGGATTTTGTGTGAAAAAATCTTTGAGCTACTTGTGTCTGTCATCTTAATTATCTACAGCCATAAAAAAAATGCATTTTCTTAAGTCTCACCATGTCAATGTAATGTTGTGCTTGTAAAAAAGCAGGTTACATGTGCCTAACTGAAGAGGTGTTCATTGTACATTCACCGTCACCTTTACCCTTTAAACTCGCAGATAGCTGCAGTTATTAAACAGGCTTGTCCGCTGAGCGTGTCCTCGCACGCACAAGTAACTTATTAACTGCCGGCAACAATGCTGCTTCTTCAGTGAGCTGAGCAAAGCAGCCTCTCACTTCCTCTGAGGACGTTAAGCTTTCTCAACACTGATGTTTATCTCAGGCTTCTCAGTCTAAACTGTCGAAGGCAGAATACAGCACACGTGTCGGTACAGATCGCACGTTAACGCCTTGGTCTGTAATTGTGAGAATCCAACAGCTGTCCTCAGAAAGATGGCTGGTTTACATTGTTGCTTTGTGCCCGACAGTAACATGTTTGTCAGTTTAACACCTCATCTGAACCCAGTTCTGGCTACAGTCGGTCAGATGACAGTGAAAAGTTGGCCTGACATTAGTTTTGGCTCATTGTTCCAAGGTTGCTGCAGGGGTGTAAGCTGAGTTTGTGGTTATATTTGTCGGACATAGTGTTGTGTTAGCAAGCAGAGTCGTTGATAATGTTTGTTCTTAAAAATGTGCCTAAATTAATGAAGCCAAATACATTAAAAACACTGGTGTTGATTTGTCATTCATGCCTCAAGAAGAGAAATTAAACAAAAAGGTTTTGAGAAGGAAATAGGAATTTATTAAAGTTAATCAGCTGTGTATCACAGCTGGCCTTGCTGCTGTGCTTGAATGATTTATGTTAATTTCCATGTTCTGGGAAATCACTTCTTAAATTAGTATTTACAATCAATGAAGCCCTTTGATGACTGCCAGCCTAAATGACTCAGATTTTCCTCTGAAGCTGTGCCAGTCTGACTTGGTGACAAAAGGTTAAAATCTGATTCACTTCATATATAAAGTAAAAATTTGCCTGCTTTTAAAAGTTTGCTTAGAGATAAATAATGTTAGATTAATGTACATTTTTAAATCAAGGTTCTTGTTTTAGATGTGAGACAAGAATGATTTGTGACATTAAATGTTTTATAAAAAAAAAAAACTGGTCCCATTTTGCTTCGCTTTGTTTTCCCGTATGGTTTCACCTTTTGTTGTAAATCCATGTTTTGAAGGCAGAAGCACAACTACAATTAACTAGAACAGAAATTATATGTTCAGTCCTTTCATGCACAGCAGTAATACAGGTTCTATATCAAGTACAGACGATGTATTTTCACATTCCAACCTGCCAGGATTTAAACTGGTTATTTTGGTCTGCAGTTAGATGCAGGGGCATTGGGTTACACATTACACAGTTTGTGCACAGAGTTAAAAACATTTACCTTTTGAAAGGAGAATTTCTCAATCGTGTCTGTTTGCTAGAAATAGATCCAGTATTTTGAAACTGTAGATTTCACTTTATACCATTTATGACCTGCAATACACAGAGTGAAAAGTGAGTTGTTTTTCTTTACACTGACTTCCTTACAACTGATGGCATAAATAATTTATATTTAATGAGGCAATATTACAGGTAAAAGATGTAAAAACAAAACAAAACCCCAAACATAAGTTCCAGATATGAACACTACAGTGAATTGAAGCCGTCCTTTATATCCAGGGTTATTAATGAACCTCAGCTCCTGCAGCAAGTCTTATTTCTGTCTTCAGAGGTGGAGGGAGGAGAAAAGCTTCCTGGGAACTCCGGCGTCCACGAGTTTTCCTGTGAGGACATTTTGTGGCGTTTCATTCCTGGAGAGAAAACTGTTCTCTTTGTCCACCGTCAGACCTCCATAACACTTTCTGCAGACCGCCTGATACTTGTCAGCTCCGCCGATCACCTCCACCTAAAGCACAAATGACAGTTGATGGTTAAAATTTTGACAAGAGAAATGCCCCTTCTTTTATCACACAAAACATTCTTCAATATGGGCACAACAGCCCAACAGCTGGAAAAAGATGAGAAACCAAGCACATGTTCATCCCACTGGAATTTTAGTTTAAGCTTTTAAGACTCAGGCTATGGCAGATTTTGGTAAAATACTCCTGTAACAGCTTGTTATAACACGTCAGTCTACTTCATTCAACCCTTCTTGGATTCATGTTTTTATATTTCATTTAGACAATAAATCCTAGTAGCTATTTGTCCTGTCCCTGTCTCAACACCACCTTTTGAAAAATGTTTTGAAACCAAAGCAGTTTCTGTGTGCCATTTGCTCCCGTCATATTATTTACTGCATTGTAAATTTCTGCAAGTCTATGGAAACATCACAAACATGGCTAGAAAAATATGACACTATTATAATGCCATACATCCTAAAAAAAAAAAAAAGTTAAAAGCTGAATTTCTTTGATTATTTGTTTTTTAAAAATGTGAAGTGTCAGCAGGTGCTATCAGTAATTTCAAATTCTATTCCATGCTCATCTCCTATCTGCGCTCTTAAACATATCCTGCAGTTTAGCTGGAATGTCCCTGAATTTGTGTTACATGGCTGTTCGTTACAGCTGAGTCACTAATGGCATCATCATGGTATTGACAAGGAGCACAGATTTTTTTAAAAAATTTTTTACAGAATCTGGTAAGCGCAAACAGTTTATTTTTGGCAAAGTGATTTGGATGAAATATCACGATTTCAAGCTTAGATTTGGTTAATTTAATGAAACTAAATGGCAGGACACATTCATGAATTGTCTTAAATTTGAAAATCCTTTGATTCTGTCAGTGTTTACAGTTTCTGGCTCTGATAAATGGTGCAAATTTTATCTATCAAGCATGCTGATACGTTTTGGGGCTTAGAGGATTTAGCACTGTTTGACTTGTTTTTTCAAGACTTTACTTGGGTTCGTGGCCTCCTTACCTCCTTCTCTGCTCCTATCCTCTTGGTGTAGGCAGCTTCTTTGTAACACTGCATGCAGACAGCATGGAGCTTCACTACGCTCTCCGCGAGAGGCACAAGGTTCAGGATGTTCCCAAATGGCTACAAGAATGCACAGGACAGCAGAAAACCAGTCAGGACCACAGAATGGATGAAAGGATAATTGTATTACAGTGACAGAACAGACACAGTATAGAATGAGAACACTGAACCATCTTTGCCGGTGCTGCTCCTGCAAATTGTTCAGCTCTTCCTTACAAATGTTCGCTTTGTCTTGGACATTTTATTACATCTGTTCTCACAGTGGTGCTCACAGAGTCACACACAGTTCATCTGTTTACCAGTATCACACTAACAGAGAAACAGAGATGCTCACCTTTCTCTGGAAGGTTCCATCCAAGGCAGCTACGATGACTGTCTTCCCTAAATTGGCCATCTCCTCACTGAACGCCACCGTATCTGGAAACTACAACACCAAAGACACAGTGATGACTTTCTGTAATTGTCTGTTAAACACCTGATTGCACACATGAATCCTCTAATTAGCACCATTGACTTGTTCAAAGAGCAGGACATCCTGGTGTGTATGAATGTGAAATAGTTGATACTAAAAAAAAAAGGGGGAAAAATACAGTATTTATAGAACCTTACAAACTGTCCCTCATCGATTCCAATGACACAGGCTTGCAGTGCCAAAGACCTCACATCTCCCAGACAATTGGCTGGTACAGCTTCCATTGTGTTTCTAAAAGGATAAAGGGGAAAACTTAATTTTAACACAAAAATATAGCATTATATTGTAATTGTGCTTGATCTGCTCTTTTACAAATCAAAGGCATTCAGAACTTGTATTTATAATATTTCCTGCTATATTCCAAGTCAACCATAATACTTGCAAAGAATACCTACTGAGGATTGTCACCACTAGAGGTCAGCTTTTGCTCAAACATCATGGCCCAGATTTAAATTCTAGTTTGCTACTGAACAAACAGGCTGCATTTCTCCCTGATTGCACATTTACAAAAGCAGCCAGTTTTACTGATTTCTTAATGTTAAAAATTCACTCATTAGACAAGGAGTTACCTGCGGTGCTTGTTTCTGTTCATCATCACAGAATCACAATTAGCTTTATTTGCCTAGTGTGTGTACACATACAAGGAATTTGACTGTATTAGAGGCCCTGTCTTAGAAACATGACCCTTAAACTTGGGCTGCATTTGTAAATAATAAAAATTTGCATACAGCTGTGGACCAAATAAAGCTTAACTACTAAGCAGGATTACAGTGTCAATGCCTCCCCCTGCCTCTATTAAACGTTTCCCATATGCACAATGATATTTCTGTAAATATGAGCAGCATAACTACACAAAACATAAAAAATAAACAGGGCGCTTACTTGTCATGTGTGGCCATGCCTTGGTCGGAATAACGTGTGTCTTTGGCATATTTGATCACCAGGCACTTGTACTGGGCTACCTGGAAACGGCGCACTCTTCTCATCAGTTCAGTGCTGCAAAGTAAATATCAGTTTCATTCAAGTCAATGTGTTTATTTTGTACTATAAAGCTCAGTTCAACTCATGACACTCTCACACAAATTTAACAAGCATGTTCTTATGGATACTATAAATGTGTACTAAAAGTTAGAAATGAACTCCAAATATTCCAAAATCCGTGCAAAATGATCCCAAAATTACAGATGTTAATATACAGTTTTAATGTTAATACATGTTGGCTGTAGGTTTTGCAACGTATGACAGATGGGAGCTGGATAAACAAAGCAGAATTTGGCGGGATGGTGACGTTTGGGCGGAAAACATGACTTTAGTACTGTTCAAACATAAATATAAAAACTTAACCTTAACAGTGGCTGCTTAAACTTCTACAAACGTGCAGTTTGCATGTTTTTTGAATGGAAAACTCACCTTTTGCCTGAAAACATCGGTCCGAAGATGACCTGCGAAGAGCAACAAAGAGGCTGTTATTCAGACTCAGGACGACGTTAAGATGAAAGACAGTTACTAAAAATACAACCTGCCTCCAGATATAGAGTTGTTGTTAGCAAATATTACGTCCTGTGGGTCCAAATTAACTGTAATTTCGGGTAAATGATGTTAAATCAGTCAGATACGAACCTGAATCTGTCCCCGTGCTTTTCTCGGTGAATTTGGAAGAACTCTCGGAAAGTCAACGCAGTCCATTTTAATTTAAATACACTACAATAAATAATAAAAACAAATTAATGAAATAATAATAGCAACACTAAAGAAGTGTAGACTGGTGTTAATTTAAGATCCGGGATGTTTTAGAGTCAAATCTACAGTTGAATGTACCGCGCCGGCGGTTGTCAGCGGATTTATCCGGAAATACGCCAATGCACGCAGAGTCACGTGACGCCGGGAACCAATCAGACGCCACCATCAACGAACGCGGAGAGCGCCGGCGCCAGAACTGACCAATCAGAGCACAGAACTTCATACGCGTTGGAGGGAATGAGCCTGTTTGTCAGGATGGGAGGGTTTTTATTGTCACTAAATGGAGCGGGTTTTGAAAAGTTTACAATAAGCACAGAAATACATACGTGTGTGAATGTGCAAGTGCAGTGAGAATGACTTTGTGCAGTGGTCAGATAAAAGCAGATAAAAGGACACAAAAGCATGTTGTTGCATCTTGTTATTTGTGTTTCAATCTGTTTGTGGTGTAGAAATATGTCTAAATTACATTCACCGAGAAGATAACAGCCCTAAGGTGAGTTTTGCTTCCTACCTGAACTTCAGGAGAGGATTGATATCAGAATAAACATTTCAACTGAGGCTGTGTCCATGGAAAGATCATGAAACAATGGGATCCTGGATACAGACAAAATAAAAGGTGACCCACTTATCCCACAGTGCAGCAAGACAGCCAGATTAAAGACACATAGACCTGTTTTATGGTTGCTTTGTGTCTCACACTGTACATTTTGTAAATTTCAACTTTTGCTTCTTTTTGTGGTCATTTGTTACTCATTTTGCACTTCTTTGTGTTCTTTTTTTGTCCCATTTTCATCATTTTATGTCTCATTTTGATACACTTGCATTCATTATAGCCATACTATCTTTTTGCATCTTGTCATGGTTGATTTGTGTTTTTTTTGTGTCACAGTTGGATTACATTGTTTCCTTTTTGTGTATTTTGTATCTAATTTAGATCTTTTTGCATGTATTTGTCTCTTTGTGGCCACTTTGCATCTTGAAATCGTTAATTTGTGTTTTTTATTGGTCATTTTTGCAGGTCTTTGCGGTCATTTACATTTATTTATGGTTATTTTGTGTCATTTTATATCCCTTTCTAGCCATTTTGTGTCTCCGAGGTAAATCTTTGTCTTTTTCAGGTTGTTTTGTCCTATTTTGGTTCATTTGCATCTCTTTTGCATCTCCTTTTGTTCATTTATAATAATTTTGAATCAATATGTAGCCTGTTCGTGGTCGTTTTAACCACAAAGACATGCACAGTTATACAGAACATCTGTCAGCTATATTGTTGGAGACACTTTCACTTGATCACTGCACTTCAATAATTTACAAACAAGTGCAAAGCCTGTGTTTTACATCACAAAGTCTTCCTATAGAGCAGCTGTATTATTGCAACATTAGTCACATGGTTGGTCAGCTGGGGATGTAAATAAAGCGCAAATAGCTGCTGGATGTTCCTCTTCCGCGTTTGTTTTTAGCTCGGCTGCAGTTTCACCACCTGTTGCAGAGTTCAAGGAAAGCGGAGTCATGGAGGTAAAGAAACAGATGCGCTTTTGTGGATTTTGAGTTTGCTCCGCACACAGAGGCAGCGGGTCGATGTGTTGACGCCTCTGAGGGTCATCAGAGTAAAGTCCAGATCAGCAGAGCTTCATCTGAGCACATGTTGCTTCATTCATCCGCCAGGCAGCGAGTTGAATCACTTCAGAAGACAAAATGACGCACTGGACTGAAATGGAGAAAGACGTAAGAGTTCGACATTTTACTGGTTTCTCGTTCTTTCCGCAGTATCGGATCAGTGGGAGTAGAAAAGGCGCAGGATTATAGCAACTAACCGCACCAGTGTCTCATTCTGAGTCCAGCAGGAAGTCAGGGACCGTCTGCAAACTACTGTCCAAAGTGTCACGTGGGCTGTTGTAAGCTAATTTGTATAACAGTTAATATAAAGCTATAAATTTGTCAGTCTCTTTAAGTACATAAAAATTAAACAGGAAAGTTTATATCAGTGCATGACTAATGGCATCCTTCTCCTTTATGATTTTGATGGGATTCATATTTCTTCCTTGTCATGTGGACACAATGTTTCAAAATCTACTCTAAAATGGTTTAGTCTTAATCTTACATTTTCAGAAATATTATAACTTCTTCCAATAGCTTCAGTGTCATGTGATCCAGTGTTTAATTGTGTAGTTGTTTTTTCTCAATACCTTAATCTTAATCTAAAATGGCCCATAGAGGGCACACCGTAGTATTAATATACATATGTCTGTTATAAATATTATGTTCTTATATTTGCTTTTGTGTCATATGAACAAATTGTTTAAAAAACGTTCTGAGTTTCATTATATATATATATATATTCAGACTTTAATTCTACATATATTCAAACTTTGATTCCATATATTCAGACTGTTATAAATATATATAATTTCCTAAATGGCATGTCCATCCATCCATCCATTATCTATACACCGCTTAATCCTCACTAGGGTCGCGGGGGGCTGGAGCCTATCCCAGCCGACTTAGGGCGAAGGCAGGGGACACCCTGGACAGGTCGTCAGTCTATCACAGGGCTACACTTAGAGACAGACAACCAAGCACACTCACATTTACACCTACGGACAATTTAGAATCACCAATTAACCTCAACATGTTTTTGGACTGTGTGGGAGGAAGCCGGAGAACCCGGAGAGAACCCACGCTGCACGGGGAGAACATGCAAACTCCACGCAGAAAGATTCCGGTGCCCCCACCGGGACGCGAACCGGCAACCTTCTTGCTGCGAGGCAACAGTGCTACCAACTGCGCCACCCTGCAGCCCTTTATTTTAAATAATTTTTGATGAAAAGAAAGATGTTTAGTTTTGCTGTAAAAGGTATAAGTTGTTGAATAAAAATGTGAATGACCTGTTTGTCACTCATTGTCAGTGACTTAGTTTAATGATGAAGCTCTATAGAACTCAAACAGTTCAAAGGTTGGTTGACTGCCAACCAATATTAACTGACTGGCTAACTGATTGGCTAACTGACATGTATTCAGGCAAATATTTAACCACAAGCGCCGATGCAGTTTCTCTACCGTCTTACCTCTAACGTTAGCGAAAACTGTTCGCTGACGTCTTCACTGCTAACGTTAGAGGTAAGATGCTACCATCTTTGCTGCTAACGCTAGCAGCTAAGACACTAACGTAACGTCTTTGCTGCTAAAGGTAGAGAAACTGCATCGGCGCTTGTTGATAAATATTTGCCTGAATACACGTCGGTTAGCCAGGTAAGCTTGTGGCGCCACCCCTGGATATCGGCGCCCTTAGCATTTGCCTATACTGCCTATGCCTAGGGCCAGCTCTGCCGTAGTATCCTACAATCACACCGTGCATTTAAACATGGATGTAGCATCCTAGCCTGAATAAAATGTAAAAAAAAAAAAGTAAAATGTAATTTTTTTTTTTATTACTTTTTTTTATTGACTTATCATCACAAATGTAAATGCACAACCATTGTGTAAATATACACATTGCAAATAAAACCAAGTCAACATTTGAAAGAAAAAAAGCAAAAAAAACAAACAAACAAACCCCACAGTAACAAGCAAAGGAAAAAGTAAAAGCAACCCAAAAGACAACTACATAATAATAATTAATAATAATAACAAAAAAATAATAATAATCATCGTGAGAGATAATAAGGTGCACATCCTTGGCAATTACATTCACCACAAAACAATGTCACATGACATGTCTATTCCTTGAGGCTCCATAGATATAGAGTGCATGGGGGAGTGTACAAGTATTAGCCAATATGATCAGCATTTTCCAATCATTTCCAAATAAGGAGCCCATACCTTCAAAAAGACATCTAAATTATTATTAATCTTATAAATAAGTTGTTCAAAAGAAGCTATCTTTGTTAGTTCATCTCTCCATTCCTTTAAACTGATTTTTTCTTTTGACTTCCAGTGTCTCAAAACTATCCTGTTTCCTGTTGCGAGAGCTAGTTTCATCTATGTGTGCCTTTGTGTGGATAGGCTGGACTTCTTCAGCAAAATACCCAGAATACATAAAGCTGGCCCATCCCTGAGCTCTGCCTTCAGTACTTTATTAATACATTGAATAACAGCTACCCAGAGGTTGTGCACCATCTCACATTCATAGAACATATGTACCAGTGTGCCCCTTTCCTTCTCATATCTCCAACATTTATCATTCTCCCTCAGTCCCATCCAAGACATTTTTGCTGGAGTCCAGTAATTCCTATTCAATATTCTGAATGAAATAAGCCGTGTCTGCATATCTCTGGCTATAGTGTTCAAGGACCTTATTGTTTCCTCCCATATCTCCCAGTCAATGGGTGCCTCGAGGTCTTTTTCCCATGCTAGCTTAACACCTTCGTAGTTTGGGGGTTGATGTCTTCTAAACATGTCATAAAATCTGGATGTCCCTCCTCTAATCTTCCAGCTAGATTGCCAAGATTGCAAATTTGACCTATCTGCTGTTGTAATACAGCTCCTTAACTGAAGGAACTTCCAAAAATCTTTGCTGGAAATATCATATTTAGATGTACACTGTTCAAAGGAGATTAAATGTTTCCCGTTAAATAAATCTTCCAGTAACATTTCCCCTACTGTCACCCAGTTTTCCCACATGACCAATTTTTTGTTCATTTTCAATGACTTATTATACCATATTGATGATCCCATAGTGTGGTAATAGTTCAAATGGCACACCTGGTGGGCCCATTTCCAACTTTCTCTAGAAAATGCCAACACAGGGTTTCTGTACGGTACATCACCTCCTGTCCGGGTGAGGAAAGCTTGCACGGAGAAGGGTTCTATTAACTCTTTCTCTATCGCCACCCAGGCAGGAGCACAGGATTCCGATATATTTGACTTATATAGCTGACTGAGGCCAAAGGCATGGTGGTACCAATCTATTCTTAGGCATCCTAGACCACCATCCTCGACTGATGCATATAGTTTCTTTCTATTAAAAGTAGGCTTCTTCCCCATTCACAATAAGCCACTTATGGCCCTATTAAATCTAGACAGAAGAGGGAGTGGGAAGTCCAGCGGTAGCATGCTTGTTATATACTTGATCTGTGGTATTGTAATCATCTTCAATAAATTTATCTTTCCGATTAATGATAAACTTAATTTTGACCAATTTTGTAAGTTCAGCTTTTTGAATAACAGGCAGTAAATTTAAATTCATTACATCTTCTAATCCTGGAGTAATCATGATCCCTAAATAGACCAGTCCAGATGGGAGCCATTTAAATTGCCAATTATTACGAATACTGGGAGGGCATATTTTAGACAAAGGCATCACTTCAGATTTTGACCAGTTGATCTTGTAACCTGATATACGAGAAAAAGAACTAATCATGGACAAAATATGAGGCACTGCAATTTCTGGGTTACTTGACAGCATTAGAATATCATCCGCATATAATAAAAGTTTATGTTCTTTTTGCCCTGAAACAATGCCTTTAATATCAACATGGTTCCTAATTGCCGAGGCCAAGGGTTCCAGAGCCAAGGCAAAGATCTAGGGAGAAAGGGGGCAACCCTGTCGGGTCCCACAGGATAGTCTAAAAGGGTTAGAAATATTCCCATTCGTGAGGACAGCTGCCTTTGGACTTCTATACAACAATTTTATCATTTATGTCACCCACATCAAACCTCTCAAGAACTGCAAATAGATACTCCCATGCCACCCGATCAAAGACTTTCTCTGCGTCCAGAGAGAAAGCCACCACTATGTTGTTCCTTGTTTGCCATACCAAATGTAGCAGTCTGCGCATGTTATCTGCTGAGGACCTCCCCTTAACAAATCCAACCTGATCAGGGTGGATCATAGTGGGGAGGCACACTTCTAGTCTTAATGCCAATATCTTAGCCAAAATCTTGGCATCCACATTAATTAAGGATACTGGTCTATAGCTCCCACAATGTTGTGGGTCTTTTCCCTTCTTATGTATCAGTGTTATTATTGCATTCTGCATACTCTCTGGCAGGCTTCCCCTCTGAAACGCATCCTGAAAGACAGTAAGAAGTCTTGGGGCTAACAGGTCAGAAAATGACTTATAGAAGTCTGTGGGGAATCCGTCTCCCCCAGGAGACTTCCCAGCACTAAGACACCTAATCGCTTGTTGAACCTCTTCCAAAGTGATGCATATCCCCAGCTTCTTTCTAGCCCAGCGGTCCCCAACCACCGGCCCGCGGACCGGTACCGGGCCGTGGGTCATTTGGTACCGGGCCACACAGATAGAATAAAAACGTTTTATTGGTTTATTTTTATTTCCAGCGAAGTCTGCAGGGTGTTTTATTTTGAAAAATGACTAGCTCGTCTTCCCGTCACTTCCGTTTGTGTTCGTTTCCCGCACTTGACTGTCAGTTTTTATGCCCGGCTGCTAAACGAAGCCGTCAGTCAAAAACAAACGTCTCAGGAGAGCTGCTTTGGAAAGTGGGAGAGACTTAATACTGAGACAGGAGAAAAAGTAAACATGTTAAGCAACAAAAATTAATGTTATTCATTTATGAAACTTTTCAATAGAAAAAAAAACAATTATTATTTGTTATGTGCGTAATGACCGGTCCGTAGAAAAATGTCTTGCTTAAAACCGGTCCGTGGTGCAAAAAAGGTTGAAGACCGCTGTTCTAGCCGACTCAGTTAGTGTTGGTAAAGTGGTCCTAGATTTTTTTTAAAAAATGTTGAAATTCACTCTTATCCCAAGAATCCTGTGACGTGTATAATTTTTGATAAAATAATTGGAAAGCATTATTTATTTCTGTTAAAATTTCCCCTTTTTCATTCTGTATTGCCGAGATCAAAGTTTGAGCCTGTTGTTGTCTCTCCCTTTGAGCCAATAATTTCCCTGCCCTTTCACCCTGTTCATAATATTTTTGCCTACACTTAAACAATGAAAATTATGCTTTTTTCTGCATAATAGTGTTTAATTCAAATTTTGTTTTACTTAAATTTGACAGTAAATTCTGGTCTCCTCTATCGGCATATTCCCTCTCCAGGTCTTTTATTTCTGTTTCCAATTTAGAAAGTTGATCGTATCCCTGTTTTTTAAGAAATGATGAATGTTGTATTTACCTGCCCCTTAAGTATGCCTTAAAAGCATCCCATACCACGCCTGGATCATCCACTGTGGCCTCATTAATTTCCCAGTAATCTAATATTTGTTGTCCTATGAACTGACATGAATTTTCAATTTGTTGCTGAGATGTATTTAATCTCCAGCGGGTAGAACGCCTCATACTCTCACTCTTAAATCTCAAAGTCATATCTACAGGACCGTGGTCAGTAATAACAATATTACCAATAGAAGTCTGTTCTGCTATTGGTACAAGTTGCTTAGATATCAAAAAGTAATCGATCCTAGAATATGATGCATGGGGGTTAGAAAAAAAAGCATATTCCCTCTCCTGAGGATGCATGAGCCTCCATATATCAACAAGACCAAGTTCCTCTGAAATAGCATCGATTGCTATCTGAGATTTCTGAACATTCCTAGATTTACTTGCGTTGCCTGATCTATCTAATGTATTGTGCCTTACTTGATTAAAGTCACCTCCAATTATAATATCAGTATTTCCCATACTCTGTATTACTGCATGCAGGTGGTGTTTTCCCGACTTGGTTCATCGTTTTCTCCCTCGCGAAACATCCGTCTTCTAAGTTGGAGATGCGAGTTTCAGCCTCATTGATTCTTCCTCCAAGATGCTGAACCGTGGTCTGCAGACAAACCAAACTTTCTTTCACTCCACCTATGTCAGTCGCGATACCTTGCAGCATGGTCTTGATGCTGGCTAGCTCAGTGGCTACATCAGTCTGTTCATCCGATGAAGCTGCCTCTTTTCCATCTTTCTTCTCTCCCCGTGCGGTTGGTTTCCTATCAGGCATGTTTCTGTGTTGTTCCCGTTAGTGCTAGGCTTCTATTTGGGTATTGTATCACAACATTTAATACTTTTAGAGGGGTGTATCATGCTCAGCCCTGCGGATCTCTCTGCTACGCAGCCATACCGGACGACGCCCCACCCATAACCCACCTCTTATAGTCCGGCTAATATGCCACGATTGGCTTACAAGCCCAGTACTATCCTGCTACATAATGTTCAGTCTTTCATTATATATGTTCAGAGATTCATTATATATATTCTGACTTTCATTATATATTTTCAGACTTTCATTATTCAGAATTTCATTACATATATTCAAACTTTCATTATATATTTTCAGACTTTCATTATATATATATTCAGAATTTCATTACATATATTCAAACTTTCATTATAAATATAATTTCCCAAATGGCATGCCATATACATATATAGTAGCTCACAGGGGGCACACTTCTTTATTTTTGATGTATAACATCAGTATAGGAAGTCAGTCAGTTTATTACCAGTGTTTTTGATTTATTATTTCAAAACAGATTACCTACAGAGGGCACATGTCTATGTATTGGATATCAGTGCTTTGCCAATTACATATATATATATATATATATGTGTGTGTGTGTGTGTGTGTGTGTAAAGTGATTTAAAAATATATTTTTCGTGTCATGTGACCTAGTGTTTTTGTCTTATAATTCCTCTGTTTTAAACATTATTTCATTGTTGCTATTTTGTTAACAATCAAAGTACCAAATGAATGAGACAGTAACTCAGTGGTGAGTTCCAGCGGCAGCGGCAGCGGAGGGCGCTGTGCTCCGGCTTCTCTCCGCTGCTCTGCGGCTCATGGTGCTGGGTTCTCGGTCTGGGTTTGATGGCCGCTCGGCTCTCAGTGTGTCCGTGTGTTGCAGGAGCTCGATCGGCAGTATTCCCCCAGCAGGTGGTCCCACAGGATGTCAGCGGACGACGTGATCAAGGCCCATGTGAAGGCGCTGAAGGAAGGTCGGTGTGTTTTTAAAGCTAATCTGCTCTAAACGCACAGAACGCGAACAGGAGGCCGGCAAGGCAGGTGTCGAGCCAAATGCTGAGTACCAGAGAAAATCTGTCACTGTCGATTATTTGTAGAAGCAGCTGCTGTCAATTACCCTTTAAATGCGCGTTTCTGAGGTAAAAAAAAAAAAAAAAACTGCACGGATTATGCACATATTATTGGCAGTTCTTGATTCTAATCTTGTAATCTAGCAGATTACCAGCTGCTGCACATATTCTACACTAAACTATATATTTGTGCATATTTTGGTGCCAATATTGAATTTGGTGTACACATTGCGGCAGGTTTGTAGTAATTCTAAACAAATGGAAAACAGCTGCAGTTAGCAGCTGTCACAAAAAAAATTATTTGTTCTTGTGAGACCTGTGAAAAAGTAATGTGGATAAAGTTCATTTTCACTGGAAGCAGGGTGCAAACTATAGGGTATTCAATTCAATTCAATGCAATTTTTATTTGTACAGCGCATATTTACAACAACAAGTCATCTCATAGGGCTTAACAAAGGCAGAGACAGAAACACCCAACAATCCAAAACATTTGGATTCCCTATAAGCTTCAGCACTCTGCAAGCAGTCTGCAACAGTGGGAAGGAACTGAAAACCCCCACGGGGGGGGCGGGGGACCTCAGACAGAACCATATGAGCTCCCCTGAAAACATGTGAACCTTTTTGGTATTCTGTTTTTGCCTGGCATTTCTATTTTTCTATGTCTTCATCATCATGCCTAAAATTAGGCCATTCATGACATATGATTCATGCATGGGTCATTAATTACTGATTCACTTGAATAAAGATGCCTACTGTTCTTATCATAACCATCAAAACGTGGTGGCGCAATATCATAACTAACCAAACTGAAACCAATGACTATATAGTTCAGTTTAAAGATTAAAAAAAAAAAAAAAAAACTTAGGTGATTGCAGCTGCTGTAAAGTAAAGCAAAAAAAAAGAAGAAGAAAGAAACAAACAAAAACAAAAAACTAAGCTAAAGCTTCAGGGTGCAGTGGTCATTGGTTTTTTTATTGTCATTCACATCCTTTTCGATAGGAATAATGATAAATAACATCTACATTTAGTGTTTCATAAATATTTTATGTGAAAAAAACAAGTGAAAAATGGGAGCTGATTGTGAATGTATGTTATATTGAGATGCCAGTAGAAATAAAAGTGATCATTTGGGTAATTGAGGTCTTTATCACAGTGGAGAATACGTGGAAAGAGTGATAGAAATAATAAGAAACTTTGACTTTAACATTGATTTATTTGCTTAGTTGCCATGGTGACGGCGGCGAGCATAGACACAGCAGCCACTTCAGGAGACAACAAAAGTGAACGTTTTGAGTGTTTTGTCTATCCCAGACATTCATTCTGAACTTGCGGCCGGGAGACTTTGCTGGGCGTCAGGACAGTGAAAATTGTGCTGGAATTGCGCCGATCGGTTGTCATTTGGACATACTACACCAACACGGAGTCCGATTGGAGACTACGTCAGCAGTTACCCAAGAGAGAAGGAAGCACAAGCGGTATGAATGTAAAGAAAGGAGGAGGAAGAGAGCCGGGATCCATGCTAAAGGCTAACCCCTCCATACCAGCAGGACCGTCGCTCCTACTCTCCAATGTACGCCCCCTTGACAACAAGCTGGACGACCTGCGTTTGCTGAGAGGAGAAAGACTGCTGTGTGTTTGCTTTAATAGAAACATGGCACCATGACAACATCCCAGACGGGCATACAGCTGGAGGGGACGACATTATTCTGGGTGGACAGACAGACAGCTAGCTCTGGGCAGCATGTGCGGCTTCACCATCGTCACACCATCTTGTGTGTCTTTGTGTCCCTGAAGACCTACCAGGACCTGAAGAGGTTCGTCATGTTCAACGAATGGCGGTGCGCATGGACGCAGCGGCCCCTTCAAGAGGCAGTGACAGAGAACGTTTAGTGTCTTATCCCAGATGTGCATTCCACAAAACTTGCTGGTTGAATAATCTGAAGAAACGCTCTCTCATCTTGCCTGTACTACTGTGTATGTACAGCAAAATAACAATAGACTTGATTTGATTGACTGAGAAATACTGCAACTTCTTACATTTGACCTTTTTTGGCAGAAAATACTGAGACAGCTATTGAGCTCTGTTATCAAAATAGGAGGCTGGTCCACATTTAACTATCAAGAAAATGGTTCCTTAATTAAGCTTTTTTTGCTAAAGTTCTTTGGAGTGACATTTATGGGGCCTAAAAGAACCACGTTTAGATTTTTCTTTGAGGTACTTTAAAGAAACTCTTTGAAGAAATCTTTCCTTAACTTGTTGCTAAAATATGTTTTTGCAGAACTGGAACTGGTTCTTGTGTAGCATCAGATTGAAGATTTGTTGGGTTTCTCTGTATACATTTTTGTCACATCTGTGAAGGGACACATGTTGTGAGTTGACACTACTAATATATAAATGGAATAGAATAGAATTTAATAGACGTGTTTAGCTGCAGACTGCTTGACTTGTCTTAGCAGGAAAAGCGCCGGTGTTTTAATAATAGCTGCATTCAACTAAACTGCTGCTGTGGTTCACAATTGTGGTTTTCTGGGACACTTAATGTAACTGAGCCCTCATTAATGTTACCAATTCCAACATCAACAAGGTCTCTTGCTGCAAAAAATGATCATAAAATCCAGTGTTGCTCTAACATTTCCCAAAAGAAATATTTCAAGGAGTTCATCAACACTAGATAGATATGTGTTATCTCATTGTGTATAATACCATGATGTCATCTTTGATGTTCTGTGATGTTCAGGGACGGAGCGAGCCCGAGGCCTGGCTCAGACTTTACTCAATGTGCCGTACGGGGAAGGACATGGAGAGAAATTGGACGTCTACATACCCAGAACCAACTCTTTGGGTACGGACTTCTGCTGCAGCCCAACAGATGCTGAAGCTGGCATCACACGTGACGATTAACAGGCCTCATCTGCTCTCTTTCAGATGTCCATCTTGTTATTTACCTACATGGAGGTTACTGGCAGTTCCTCAGGTGCAGTCTCATGCTCTCTTCTATACTTCATGTTTATATATATTATTCTAGGTGTTAATTTTGGTGCTTTGTGCAGCAAGGAGGAGTCCGGATTCATGGTCATTCCACTTGTTGATAAAGGTGTAGTTGTGGTTGCCGTCGGTTACGACATCGCGCCCAAAGGTAGAAGTCTTTTAATTTCTGACGTTCTTTGGGAAAGAGCGATCATTTAAGAAGATGAGCTGAAAATGTCAGCCTTCAGCCTGTGGCCTTGTTTTCAGGTAACATGGACCTGATGGTGTCACAAGTGCGCAGGAGTGTTGTGTCTGTGGTGCAGCAGTATTCTCACATCAGGTAGCAGTTCTCCTCCACGTCCTTATCACCCTGTTAGAGGAAGGTTCAGCTCAATGCGTCACATTATAATGAAATTCTGCTCCTCATTCTTCTCTCATTCATAAAAAGTCACCATCCTCAATGCAAATGCACTTCTGTGTCTGTTCTCTCCCTCAGTGGTCTGTACCTGTGTGGACACTCTGCCGGGGCTCACCTGGCTGCAATGGTTCTCTCCACTGATTGGTCACAGTACAGCATCACACCTCAGATCAAAGGTGAGGTGTCTCAGGTGAAACAGTAGAAAGCCAGTTTGTGTCAATTTAGGCAGATTTTATTAAATATCATGCTGCACTGTCTCTTCTGTTTTCAGAAATGGGAAGTTTTTCATCCTAAAAAAAACCTGGGAATCCATTTTCCGGATTCAATATCTCTAGGAATATAACATCCACAGCCATGAAATTTCTTGAGGACACTGGCATTATTATTTCCAGCAGATCTGAATGATTGAATGGCTCCAATAGAAGCCTGATTTTAAAATTGTGGGGCTTGTGCTAAAAAGTGCTAAATTTTCAAACGTGGGTGGTGTTGGGCCCCCAGAAAGTTCCTGTGAATGTATGTACATGGATGCATCCACATTTTCTACAAAAAAAACAGTCTTAGTACAGTCTAATACAGTCTTAGTCTCTCATCATTGCACTAACTTTGAGACTTCTAACAACAATTGGATGTAATGTGTGGTAAGTATGGTAAACTAAAGCTCCATTTTTTTGCTGTTTGGACATGCCAAGATAGTGATGTGGACTCGTATAACTGGTGTGCATAGGGGTCTTTATATTTTCAAGATATGGGCAGAGTTACAAGTCACCAACATGTTGTCTCACTGTTAAAATTTACACATGAGGCATATTTTGCCTTACTGAATGTTCTCATACATACGCTTGAAATGAACAGTTAACAGAGAAACTGATAATAATTCAGCAAATTGCAATAAATCTCAAGTTCATTGAAGCACATCATGGCAAGTGCTACGACAACTGTACTTCCACACGTCAAATACGTTTTGAAAGTTAGGGAAATGTCTTTTCGTAGGAATATATATGTATGTATGTGTATATATATATACCACCCTTGTTTGAAAATTTGCACTTTTTTCATTTTCTATTTTCATCAATTCCAGTAATTAAAAATCTGTCTTCTGCTGGAGATATTAATAATTTTTCATGGCTGTGAAAGTTATATTTTTGAGAATATTGAACTCTTCAAATGGCTTCCCAGGTAACCCATTTTTTCTGGGTGAAAAGCAGAAATTCCCAGGTTTGAAAACCTATGAAATTCTCAACATTCAGCGAAAATATTTTGTAGAACTAAGTTCTAGATTTCAGATAACAAACAAGTAAAGTGAACAAAATCTGAGACGGTCGAGTAATACTGCTGTCTGAAGTGACACAGACTGACCAAAGGGACAGATATATGAGTGGTTTGCTTCATTTTAATAACAAATAAGAGGGAAATGCTCAGAAATACAAGGCAGAGACACATGAGGTGTAGCAGTTGTACCTTCACTGGTTTTATAATTGTCTTTTAGGTGCTTTCCTTGTTAGTGGAATATATGACCTCCTGCCCATCCTGTCCACCTACGTCAACGAGCCTTTGAAGATGACAGAGTGAGTACATCACTACAGAACATGAAGTCATTTACACAGACACAGAGAGTCTTCTTCCTGAAGTGTGTGCAGACAGCAGCAGCTCAGCAGCATTTAAAGAGACAGACACTGAAATAATCTCCTTAAAACAGGACTAAGATCAGGAGTTATACAGTCATGGTGAAATGAACCATCTTTGCAGGATTTTGATATGAAAAATAAAAGATATATTCTGGGGACATGTGAGACTTTCATTAATTTGCTGAAAAGGGGCATCATATTGGACCTTGAATTGACCTGCAAGATGATTTTAATGTTGGAAAGTAGAAACAACATAGATGCTGTAAAGTTGATGGATTTGATTGTCCATCAACAGTTTAATTGCTGAGAGCACTTACAATTCTGCTTTGCTTGATTTATTATCTGGGCTACTGCTAATAAATTCAACTTTAGAAACTAATCAAGGTCACTTTTCATGGACAGCAACGAACACTTACAACTTACACTATTAATCTAAAGTTTCTTATTATCAACCAAAGTTTTACTTTCACCAACTTCTCAGCAAGTTGTGTCCCAACATTTTCTTCAGATTTCCAAGTTGTTGTTCTTACTTAAGGGGGCTTTCATGTTAATTTTCTCAGCTAGGAACTAATTTTTCAGATTATTATAACAATACATGAATGCACAATACAACAAATGCACAGTCAGCAGTTTAGTTGCATTGTGGGTAATGTAGGCGACAGCTTCTTTATGTATTAGCGATGGCTAGTATGGTATTTTTGGTTGTTTTAAATTGTTCTTCATGAGGACCACAGTGGTACAGGAGTAACACTAAAGCGTGCCCTTGGAAGAGTAGGGATATAATCTCATTACTTACTAGTTAACGTCAAGGCTTTCACAACATGTAAACACATTAAGCAATTACTCTCTGTAATCTGCAGTTTCTCAACCTTGAACACTAGAGTTACTGGATGCACTAGTTGGCCTACAGTCTTGAAATATACTTTGTATTTTTTTGTACATTTAGTGTCATACTCAAAGTTCCAGATCTAAATATTGGGTTATGGTCCAGATAAGGTTAAGGAACCCTGCACTAATCCATTAGTATGTGGCTGCCTGTTGTTCAGACTGGGTGCTGCGATGCTGTGAAGCTGCAGATGTCTTTGTGTGCGTCTCTGTAATTGTCCTCTGTCGTACCAGTTGGTGCCTCACTGCTCTGTCTCCTTGTCTCTGCCATTCAGGGAGGTGGCAGTGAGAAACAGCCCCAGCAAACTGGTGGCTCAGCTCAAACTCTCATCCTCCAGCTGCCAGATCGTCGTGGCCGTTGCTGAGAACGACTCGCCTGAGTTTCGCAAGCAGTCTGAAGAATACTACAAAGTCAGTACTCAGGAATGGGATAAATGTTGTTGGGTTAGTCCATCCCAAATCATCAGGGGCTTTCTGCTCAATCGTCTATGAGCTCTAATGACAACTCAGACACATGAAGTTTCAACATTCTTGAAATGATTGTGCACTATTTCCTTAATTTTTTGTTCTTACTACAGATACTACTAATCTCTTTCTTTTGCCTTTTAAGACGTTGGAAGTGTCAGGACTGAGTGTGACCATGGAGGATGTGGCAAACACAGACCACTTCAGTATTATTGAACAGTTGGTAGATGGAGAGTATCACCTGACGAAGGTACACATGCACAAAAATAATTTATCATCATTATGAATGTCAGTGCTATTTTCCAGAATATCTTCACTCTTTCCTGCTCTGACTGATAACTTTACAATATTATTATACAATGTTTGTGTGCAATCCCCCTAAATCAACACCTGAGGTTTGCACCAAAGGGATCAATAAAGTTCTATTCTATTCTATTCTATTCTAATTGCTAAAAAAGGCAAAAAACTTGGAAACTGTTTGACCCATGCGACCTTATCTTGGAAATAATATATATGAGTAGTCATTTTTTGATAAATTATGTCAATTTAAAGATAGTCTTGCAAGTCAAGAAAATCGCAGTTTGTCCTGAACTGTTGAAGCGTCAGACTGTGATAATACGTAATTAGAAAGAATACACTTTGAAGTTGTAAAAGTGATGTAATCATAACTTTCTTTTCCACAAACCACTCAGAGGGTTGCTGAATACTGAGATCAGTAACTTTAGCTCTTAATATGGACATTCCTATTACTTTTTTATCACTTACAGAAGTTCTTAGATTTGCTGCACCTGCTATTGGTTTGTCTTGTAACACTTGGTGTCTGCTGACTTACTACACTTGCATTATCTTAGCCTTTTATACTTCTTTAAAAAAAGGCCTACATTATAGTGTTTTACTGTGATACACCAAGTCAAATTCCTAAAACTTGAAAACCTACTTGGGAATAAAACAAATTTAGATAGATTTTTACTTCCTGTAATGGTTTTTTCCTTATTTTGGAAGAATGTAAAATGTACCAATGATAAGAGCCCAAGGAGAGATTTAGTTCCCTGTGCAGTTTCACACAAAGACAAATAGTACTGTACTGTCTTTGTTGACTTGCAAAATTATCTTTTAAATCGACGAATGTCACACGTAATAGGATCAAACTTTTTTTTTTTCTGTCTCTTGCTGTTGACTACATACCATGCATTCTTTTTCCTGAGATAAGGTCCCTTGAGACCCACTGGAATTAGTCAGGACTTCACCTCACTACAGACAACAGAGTCGCCATAGATCCTGGATGTCAACCTTTCCAGAAATATTCCATCCATTTTAATAGTTATTCACAAAATTCAGCATACATTTAAGGACTGTAGTGGGGTTTTTTTTAGCGTTTAACATTATGATATAACATATTCTGCACTTCTAAAACCAGTTTTTGTGTCCTGCTTTCTCTGTAGCTTCTCCTAAAGATGATGGGAAAGAGCTGAGGTGTTCCAACCATCCTCTACATACATCTGTGTCAACGTACATCTCTGAACACAGTCATTGTGCACGATACTGATAAAATATGCATTGTTTCAGATTTGTACTACAGTAGATGTACAACTTCTGTGGCTCGAACAACAACAAGGTGGTTGTTTTGTTCACTGTGTCAGTATTTATAATGAACTTTGTAGTTGCTGCTGTCAAAAGGCCTACATAGGCTTTGTAAGTTCCAGCTACATTGACATCTTTGTGCCTAAAACCTTTGTCACTGCAGGGATGGCGACTGTAGCAAGCTGTACTCATATTTAGTTGTAAACAGAGTGCTTAACTGTGCACAATGTTATTGTCGGGAAACTCAGTTCCATTGCGTGCTAAACGTTGTAGAGTCGATTGTTAGTTTTGGCATATTTTCAGTGTTTGGCAACTGGGCGGGTCAGTCTGTTGTGTGTATATTTTTTTTTCGTTTTTTCTTGTTACAATCTGCACCTCAGTTTAAGTCCACGGGTTGGATGAGAATAAGAGATCATGTCGAGAGTAGAGACGTATCTTACAAACTGAATGTAGCTTCTAATTGTAACTTCCACAATGCTGATATCTCACCCAGGGAACTTTATTGTGTTGTTGGTAGAAGATGATAATGAAAGGTTTATATTTTCACTTTTAATTTGAGCCTAATACTAATATTCAAATTGACACATATTTTCTAACTAAATTTTACCTGATGCACATCATTATTGATTGTCATTATTATAGCATCTGACATAACTGTTTACATTATTATTTGCAGTATGTACGTGTGTGTAGATTGGATGGAACTGATAATGACTGTGTATTAAGTTTTGTCACTTCCATGTAAGATGCAAGACCGTTCTCTCTTGTTTAGCTTCAATTTTACACCTGACCCACAAAAACCTCCTAATAACTATGTGACACATGTTTTGGTTTGTTATTTAATTGCAAATTTATTGTAGCTGGGGGGAGAAAATTAACTTAAGCCTGGCCCTGCAGTCTCAAAATCTAATTTCAGGATCTTTGATTTACTTTATATTGATTACATGGTGCATATTCTCAAATAAAGACATATTTAACCAAGTTACCAGAAACTGATACAAGTTCAGTAGAATGTGCTATTATATGGGTTTTTGTTGGCATCTGCAGCCATGTACACTCAGCTGCCAGTTATATACACACATGTACTTACAACTAATGTAGTCATGCAGGAAACACATATATTAAATGTTTGATTTCAACCAAAACTTGTTGATTTGACTTTATGGCCGACAGGACGTTATTGCATGTGTTGTATCAGTGAGGTGTTTCTTTGTCAATTGTCCATTTATATCACTATATTAGACAGTCCCAATCTTACTGCTGTATTTATTTAAGCATCATTTTACAAGTGCATTTTTCTGTATTTCGCTATTTATATAGAAACAGACATTGTGCCAAAGTTGCTTTCCAATAGAGAAATGAGATTTACAGTACACAATTGCCTAATAAGATCAAATATGAAGGTTTAAATCCTACAATATTATTCTTATATGCATTTATTTGACTAATTTAAATATTAGGGGTTAAGCTCCAACAATATCATTTAATATATTAATTTACCCATCTAAATAAAATATAAAAAATTAAAACCATACAATATTGCTTTGTGTAGAAATTCAGCTTAAAAATTTTAATTATAGGGTTAAGATCCAACAATTATATTATACACGTTTACTATATTAATTTCAATATTAAGGTTAGGACCTAAAAATAATATTCCACAAATTTGCTATCACATTCCAATATTAAGGTTAAAACCCTATAATATTATTTGTTACATAAATTAACCATACAAATTTACATTATGTAGTTAGTATACAAATTTACTTAACAAATTCAAATATATATATTATAAATCTAAATTATTTAGGTATACAAATTTATTTAAGTTCAAATATTAAGGTTAATCATATATTACCTTAATTTACCTGACAAATTTTATGCTGTGTTCACACCAGACGCAAGTAAAATCATTCACGCGAATGATTAATGTAAAGTCAATGTAAAGACACGATGCGACGTGAGTAAACATCCCGTGGCGCAACTCGCGCGATTAGCGTGGCGCGATTGACGCGAATTGAGCAAGTTTGACACGCGTTTGACGCGATTTTAGACGCACCTCTAAAGAGCAAGTTGAAAAATCTGAACCGTTGCGATCTGATGCGCCGCGATGGCCAATCAGCGTTGAGATTCTCTGGTAAAGTCAACAACATGATTCATTCATTTTTTGCAACTACACTGTGAATACTGATTGATTTACTCAACCCAGGAGATAAGCAGTTACATCACTGGCCAGGGCAGTGCTCAGCAGACTGGCTGTCCCTCTCCTCCAGTTCACACACAAGAATGCTACTCTTCAACCTAGCAAGCTAGTGAGCCGAGTTGCTAGCTATCGCAATGCTAGCGGGATAAACCTCCGCTGGCTCTTTGTCGCTGTGGTCCTGCTGGCGGCCGCTCGTCTGTGTTGTTGTATGTGGCACGGAAAAAACATCGCTCTATCTCGGCAAGCGCCTGTAGTTAGTATCCTGGAGGGATATCCCTGTGCCGATCCTCTCCAACAGGTAGTCAAACTGGACCCGGATCAGCCGAGAACAAGCTCGCCGGGGAGCGCCTGGTGGCCGAGCCTTGGGGCCCCCGTGGGTTGGCCACTTCCCAGAGGACCCACCACCCTTGGGGAAGAGGATCGGGGTCAGGTGCTATGCCCACCGGGTGGTAGGCAGGTGCGGGCGTCCTGGTGTACCGCCACCTGGTGGCGTAGATTAGCTCTGGGGACATGGACTGTCACCTCACTGGCAGGGAAGGAGCCTGAGCTGGTGCAGGAGGTGGAGCGCTACCGGCTAGATATAGTCGGGCTCACCTCCACGCACAGCAAGGGCTCCGGAACCATACTCCTGGAGAGGGGTTGGACTCTTTTCTTTTCTGGAGTTGCCCACAGTGAGAGGCGCCGGGCGGGTGTGGGGATACTCACAAGCCCCCGGCTGATTGCCGCCTTGTTGGAGTTCTCCCCAGAGAACGAGAGGGTCGCCTCTCTGCGACTGCGTGTTGTGGAGGGGAAAATTCTGACTGTTGTTTGTGCTTATGCACCAAACAGCAGTTCAGAGTATTCGGCCTTCTTGGAGTCACTGGGTGGTGTCCTGGAAGAGGTGCCGCCTGGGGACTCCATTGTTCTCCTGGGGGACTTCAATGCTCACGTGGGCAATGACAGTGAAACCTGGAGGGGCGTGATTGGGAGGAACGGCCTGCCTGATCTGAACCGGAGCTGTGTTTTGTTTTTGGACTTCTGTGCTAGCCACAGATTGGCCATGATAAACACCATGTTCGAACATAAGGTTGCTCATAAGTGTACTTGGTACCAGAGTACCTTAGGCCAAAGGTCGCAGGACGTATACTCGCGTCGAATCGCGTCTTCACATTGACTTTACATGTAAATCATTCGCGCGAATGATTTTACTCACGTCTGGTGCGAACACAGCTGAGGCCCCTACAATATTATTTACAATATAAATTATAAATAAATAAACCCTGACTAATTTAAATATTATGGTTAAAACCAAATAATATTGTACAAATTTACGTGAGTAATTTGTTCAGATTCAGATTCAGACTTGTTTTCATTGTAACAAGTTCAATGAAACAAAAGGTGCAGTCCTTTCAGTGAAAAAAAACAAAAATATGAGAACTTTGTAAAACAATAAAAACTTTGTAAAACACTATATACAATATAAAAGAAATATATATATACAACTAGCAAAAAGAACTCTAAAAAGATTCAATTAAATAATGAGCACGTTGTATATTGCACAGAGTGGATATTGGGCACAGGGTAGTGGAGTTGTAATATACTGTATGTATATGTATATATATATATATATATAATTGTACTTAATTTTGCTAGAATATAGCAGTAAAAAAATTGTTTTTTGGCTAACCCAGGTATTGTTACATTTATTAAAATACTGATATACACTGCCCACACTGCAGCAGGACTGGACAAGGTGTGTCCATGGATGCTCAAGTCCTGTGCTGTTCAACTGGGGGAGCCGCTACAGCACATCTTCAACCTCAGCCTGCAGCTGGGGACAGTGCCCACCCTCTGGAAGACATCCTGCATTGTTCCGGTGCCGAAAAAGACCTGGCCCAGCGAGCTGAATGACTACCGACCGGTGGCACTCTCTTCACACCTGATGAAGACGCTGGAGCGGCTCCTCCTCCACCTCGTCAGGCCCCAGGTTCAACACGCCCAGGACCCTCTACAATTTGCCTACTGGGCAAATGCTGGGGTGGAGGATGCTGTGCTGTACCTCCTCCATCGAGCCCACTCACACCTGGACAAGGGAAGCGGCACTGTGAGGATTCTTTTTATGGACTTCTCAAGGATGGGAGTGGACTCGTGCCTGGTGGACTGGATCTCCGACTACCTCACTGACAGACCACAGTGTGTCAGACTGAAGGACACCACATCTGACACTGTGGTCAGCAGCACAGGGGCCCCTCAGGGGACAATGCTGGCCCCTCTCCTCTTCACCCTGTACACCTCGGACTTCTGTTACAACTCGGAGCTGTGCCACAAACAGAAGTAAGCAGATGACACAGCCATCATGGGGTGTATCAAGGATGACAGAGAGAGTGAGTACAGGAGTCTGGTGGACGACTTTGTTGTCTGGTGCAAAGAAAACCACCTGCAGCTCAACGCCTCAAAGACAAAGGAACTGGTCATAGACTTCAGGAAATCTGGACCATGCCCATGACCAGTTCTGATTGAGGCACATGAGGTTGAACTTGTACAAAACTACAAGTACCTTGGGCTGTGGCTGGACAACAAGTTGGACTGGACATGCAACACAGACTACCTGTCCAAGAGAGGACAGAGCAGGCTGTACTTCCTGAGGAGGCTCCAGTCGTTCAACATCTGCAGGAAACTCCTGTGGATGTTCTACCAGTCGTTGGTTGCCAGTGTCCTTTTTTACGCCGTGGTGTGCTGGGGCAGCAGCACATCAAAAAGGGACGCATCGAGGCTGGACAAATTAATCAGGCGGGCCAGCTCTACACTGGGCATGAAACTGGACTCCCTGGTGACAGTGGCAGAGAGGAAGACATTGAACAACTGCTGGCCATCATGGACGATGCCAGCCACCCTCTGCACACTGTCATCATCGCCCAGAGGAGCCAGTTCAGCGACAGGCTGCTCCTCCCCAGGTGCAAAACCAACAGGAACAAAAACTCTTTTGTTCCCCGAGCCATCAAACTGTTCAACTCTGAGCTTTGGGGGGGGGGGAGGAGCAGCAAGCGGGGAGAGGTGGGGAGCGAGGGGTGAGGAGTGAGGACATTGGGGTGAGATAGAGCATCATGCTGTGTGCAATATTTAGGCACTTTGGCAAATTTTGTTACTGTATCCAGTGTTATTATTATTATTATTACTACTATTTTTTACTATTGTTGTCATTACTGTTGTTGCTGATGTTGTGTTGGTGTTGTTTTTCTAGTACAACAATTTCCCTGAGGTGTACACCGAAAGGATCAATAAAGTTTTATTCTATTCTATTCCCATATTCAAATAAATACATTAAAACACCAGTGATGGTATGTTAAATACAGGTAATTGAGGATGGCTTTAAAAAGTTTTATTTATAATTTTTTAGAATTAAGTAATTATTTTGAACCCAGAGCCCTTTTAATTGCTGCTTACCTCATTCTGTGAACTTGCTGTCAATAATTTAATAATTAGTTGAGAAGTACTTTGGATGGTCAGGCTGCGGTTCACTCGCTGCTGGGACACCCGGCTCAGCTGCTTGTCTCCGGGCAGGAGGAGGAGCTAATCACCGAGAAACTTCGGGCCAAACAGTCCATCAAACATGTCCAACCGGGCGGACTGTGACACTCTTTTCACCCGGTGAGTCCCGAGCTTCCAAGAGCACCAGATAAACCGTTAATGAAGTTAATAAATACGGATAATAAATGTGTCGCTATTAGCATTAGCTTGCTACGGATCAGCGTTGTTAGGCTACAGTGGCTAGCTGACGTTAGCTACGTGGCTAAGGTTGTTAACTAGAGCCGGCGTGTTTGTGACTCTGCTAAGTGTTTCTGGTCGCTGTTGTGTGAAAACGTTTCACCATATAACGTGTCACACTTTGAAGAATACGTTTCATTTCGTGTCTGGCAGCTTGTTAAAGTTTTAAAAGTGTCGCCGGGTGTTTTTTTTTTTTTTTTTTGCTCGTCGTGTTTGTTGCCTTCGTGGCCGCCGTTGACTCACAGCGGGGACGACATGTAATTGAAACAGATAAAGATGTTAAAGAGACGCTGATAAAAACAAAAAGTACAGTTTGTTCGGTTTGTGGTCACAGCACGGTGATTAGAAACGTCCTGACACTGTTACTGGTTAATCTTGGGCTGAAGTGTTAGCTGTTGGTCTGTTACACAAACAGGACTCACGGTTTGTTAAAGTCATACCAGCTGACTTTAATGGCTTTTCTTTAATTATGTGTTTCATAATTGTGACTACAAACCAGACTGAACATGTGCATTCAGATAAAATAGGATAAAACGGACAAAAAAGCCAAAATTCTGATTCCACCTTCCTAAAGTCGAATATTTTCTGGTTTCTTTACTCCTCTGAGACAATAAACTCAATTTATTTTGGGTTGTGAACAAAACAAGACATTTCACGATGTCATTTTGGGTGTTTGGAAAAACTGACTGATAATTTCCTCATTTTCTGACATTTCAAAGAGTCAACAACTAATCGATTACTTCTCACCTAATAACTGAAGGACTGTTTTGATAATCAATTAATTGGCTTGAGGAATTGGTCAAGAAAAAAACATCTAAATTGGTTCCAGCTTCTTACTGAATGGTTTCTGGTTTCTCTATTCTTTCGTGATATTAAGCTGAATGTTTTTAGTTGTGGATAAAACAAGACATTTGAGAATGTTAGTTTGGCCTCTGGGAAACATCGATTTCCCATTTTCTGACATGTTATAGACCAAACATCGATTCATTGAGAAAATAACACTTTTTCAACAGTAAACATTGTCATTAGTTGCAGCCTTTGTAGACACACAGGAACATTGCAGCATCTCTGTCAGAGCTGTATATCTCTGGTAAATCACATCTCAAGGGAGCTGCTAGTCCGCAGCTACACTTTTTTACTGTTCAATATGATGTATATGAAATTGATGACCAGAGCGCAAAGCAAATTGTTCTAATTTATGTTGTCTGAAAATGTTTATTCTGGGCTTTGAAAGCAGGGTCCACTTCCCCTTTGTGAGCATTGTCATGACAACTGAGGTATCTCCACAGAAACTGGTCAAACTGAGGTGGTTGAAAGCTGAAAAAAAAGTGCCAATAAGTGTGAATGGGAAATTATTAATTTTCTGTTGGTTAAGAAAACATTTCAGCATTGGCAGGAATAATTACAAATATCTGAAGCTGACACTGCTCATGTGGTGACCTTACATGACACAATCATTAACCCTTATTGAAAGTCCAGCAGGACCGGATTTAAAGGGTTAATTGAGCCTTCTAGTCCGTACTTGCTGACTGAGCCTTACTCTTTCTCCTTAATTCATTATTAAGGCTCAAACTCTTTGGTGGCTCTGCAGGAAGGGGCAGAAACTTGAGATAGTGTAATGAGGAAAGGAGGAGACTAGGTGAAATCATGTGGGAACAAGGGCCGGAGGAACATGGAGTTTATTATGAGATGTGTGCAAAGGAGAACAACATGATGGTTGCAGCGTGTTCAGGGGAGAAAAGGCGAAGGATGGGTGAATAATTGAATTCTTCATACAGCGGGGCTGTGTTTGCGTCTGTGCTGCAGAGGGATGGGAAATATGGGCCATGCATTCAGCAAAGACAATAAGGGCTTTATTTCATGGCCAAGCTTTTCGTGTGTGTGTGGTTTAAAGAGCATGTTAGTGGAAAAGTGTGAACTTGTTTAGAGAGCTGCTGAAGAGGCACCGGGAAAAAATATGTGATGCAAGATTATGTATTGCACTTCAGTAAGGCTAAATACCCTCTTGGGAAATATTTCTGTGAGCTGGTTTGCATTTAAACTCATGTTTTTTACAGCATAGTCTTTGAAGTAGTGATTGCTTTTGTTCCTATTGTTCTTTAACAGAGACACAGTGTGAGCTGATGCTGTTTTGACTTTTATTTAGCCAAATGGTGATGAATTGTATATGCAGTAACATAAGTGCACTGCTCATTCAGACCAACCTTAAAATTGCTTCATCTCTGCTGCTAATGTACCAGTTGGATTATTCTCAACTCATCCAGATTGAGATCCTTTGTAACAAAAAGATCTTAAACATTGTTGTTTTTTGTTTTACAGCAAAGGCAATCTCTCTAGATGTTCTTTAAATATATGTTTAAAATGATAATACTTGACCACTTTTTTGTACAATGATTTAAAACGGTAGCCACTTCATATGTGACTCAGTATGGGTAGGATTTGGAGCTTTAGCCAAGCCAACACTGAAGCTTTATTTTCTTACTGTACCTGTTAGTTGTCCTTGATAGCAGAAACATCAGGGGTCATTGTTAACACAAAACAGGCACACATCTCAAATTTCAGCAGGTCGGATGCTTGATTGCATGTTTTTCCAGACCAGTTACCTGTTTGTGAGACTTAAAACAGATTCAAGATCCTGTTTGTATTAACTTATATGAAAGTAGAGTGGCTCAATAAAACTACTAGAGAAAAATATCTGTTTACTTATTCTCACATCTTTGTGAGTTCAGTCTGTGAATTTTAAGTTCCTGGTTACCCCAAATGTGTTAAACTTGTTTTTTCATGTTTGCAGCTTTAGATAATTTCTTTGCATTCACTCACAGCGAGCACATCAGGCAAAAATTCTTTCTGCAAATGATTTCAAATTGAATTTCCCTTCTGGGATAAATAAAGTTTTTTTTTTTCTTTTTTTCTTTTTCATTTCATTTCCAGATATCGCTCCCAGGAACTGAACAGAATGTCCTTGCTTTTTGTGTTGATGTTGACTGTGCATTTTTCATTTTACCTAATAAGCTCTAAGCATGGGAACATGTTTTCCCGCAGGACGTTCTGTAGCACAGTTTTTAAACCCACTCCGATCCTGACACTCTCATTGTAGCTTTTAGATGATGACCTAAACAGTAATTACACTTTTTTTAAAAAATGTATATCTGTGTAGAATAGTGCTACTGCTTTTTCCCCACTTAAAGTTAGTCATTTATTTTACAAAAATTGTGTTAATTGTCATGACGTTAGAAGATGGGTGTTATTTCAGGCTAGGTGGCTCATCTCTGCTTTAAACACTAGTGGAAACCTGTAGTCCTAGTTTGGTTCACCACACCTCAAGTGAGGAACAACTTTAGCGACAGACATAGTAGGCTACAGTAACTAGCAGTACAGTGGAACCTTTGGCAGAAAAACCTACAGTGTCCAAGAAAAGTTTCTGATGTTCCACAATAAAAAAGAAACTGCATTTAGAGGAAGAATTACAGTCAACAGAAGGCATATATCATAAGAATGTGTCGATGATGGTTGTGTATTTACTGTCAGTGCCATAAGAGGGAGACAAAAGTTTGACACTGCAGCCTCGAAGTCCACAACTAGTCTTGCAGCAAAAAATAATATATAATGTATTCCGTCAATTAATTACAGAATGAAGACGTCAGGACCAGAAGAGCAACAAACGGTAGCTAATGTACAGTAAAAGCCTGCATCTATGTGACACTTTGCCAGCAGAACCGAAAACACAATCAGAGCCTAAAATCTTCACGACAAAGTAAACCAGTAAGTTAAACAATAGAAAGACGTGTACACTGTACAATTTGATATAAACATGCATACATTTATGTGTCCTGTCGTTTTATCCTGATTCTGTTTATTATTACATTTAATTTAAAAGCCAAACCAGAGACAGCGGCTGCAAATTTCATGTATACTCACATACATTGCATCTGTTGCATAGCTCACCTCTGTGGACCAATATTTTCCCTAACTGTCCATGTTGAATAAACTACAAAAAATTAAATAAACTGAGCAAAATTGTGGTGCACATCCTGAGGAAGCGGGACCTGCCAGCTACCTACTCAGTATTCTGCCTGAACAGCACAACAAAGCTCTGTTGCAAACAAAGAACGATTGAAATATGAGCCTTTTTTCCCCCAACTTGTTGTGTTCTTCCCCGTGTTCATGCTTTCATTTTCCCCAGCCATTGTCCTCAGGATTTCTATTCAAACTTTATAAGAACATTTATTAAAAATGATCATACAAAGCAGTTTGTAATACTGATTTGTGCTTCAGATAAAAAGATGTTGTAGTCTCATTATACACAGTCACCGCATAATGGGCATTAAACAGACAGTTCTTTGATTTGAAGACATGAAAAATGCTGTAATTATGTATGTTGACATCTTCAAAAATGAATCAAACTTTTCAAACTGAAAGGATATTATGTTTTTCTGTCTGTACAGTTTATTCACTATTGTACTTGCCTTTCTGCTCATGTTCTCCCTTGTGCTCATCCCCAGGCCATAGGAGTGATCACCCCCAGCCCACATCTGACAAAAAGGATGAAGACAATACTTCCATGACCTCCTTTGATATCGCCGTGCGAGGCCTCCCTCTGGCCTTGATATCCATGACACAAGCCGCCACCTCTGACTCGCGTTTCCACTTGAAATGGCGGGCGATCACTGTGGCGACCCTGCTCGCTTTAGTGCTCATGTTATATCTGCACCGGATAGTCGGGGACAGAGATGCTCCAACCAAAGGTTACTACCGCAACAAGGTTCATGGTTTTCAAATGCACAGTGAGGGCGAGGGCGACACCCTCAGGGACGCTGACAGGCAAACCCCACAAAACCTCGCCTTACACAAGAAAAGGGAAAAACGTTACAATGACACATACCCGCTAAGTCCACCTGAGAAGACCCGGCATGGTATCCGCTACCGAATAGGCATCATTGCAGACCTGGACACAGCGTCAAGGAGCTCCAAGGATCAGACGTGGTTCAGCTACATGAAAAGAGGCTACCTGACTGTTTCGAGCAGCGCTGACAGACTGGAGGTGGAATGGGATGTTGAGACAGTCACTCTGGAGAGTCACCTGGCAGAGAAAGGACGAGGTATATAGATGTGTTATATTGATATGTGTTAGCGTGCTGGGAATAATGTGTGGGTTAACTCATTGCCTTATTATCTCGGCTGCAGGTATGGAGTTGTCTGAGCTCGTGGCCTTCAATGGTCACCTGTACAGTGTGGATGACCGTACTGGTGTGGTGTACAGGATCGAGGGAAGCCACGCCGTCCCCTGGGTTATATTACCTGATGGTGATGGTTCCGTCTCCAAAGGTCAGTCTCCTCTAGATGTCCTAAAGTTTCAGATTGGCTTTAGCATGTTGGCCAGTGCAAACACAACAACCCTCTATAGCCCAACCCTAATCTTTTAATAATTGCCAAAGTTACACAGTTTGTTAGAGTCACAAACTATAAAAACAGAAAAAATGATCAGATTTTCAACTTTCCAGCAGCCCTTGATCTCTTCATCTGTGACCTGATGTGCTGTTTTGAGTGAAAAATTAATAAAAATCTAAGATTAAAATTGTGATATTTATTCAAAGTCACTATATTTCATGTGTTCCATTTACAAATTCGTCACAAACATACCATTTGCACTAACCTGATTCAATTCAATTCAATTCAATTCAATTTTATTTGTATAGTGCAGTTTACAACACGTTATCACACAGCGCTTAACAAAGTAAGGTATAGACCTTACAAATTTAGACAGAGAAACCAACCTCCGGCAGAACCAGGCTCAGGGAGGACGGCCATCTGCCTCGACTGGTTGGGTGAGAGTGGGGATGGGGGGTGGAGGATAGCAGTTTGAGAGCAGTAATAGAGCAGAACAATAGATATGAATATAAGTATTTTGGGTGTCGGTGAGGCCAGCAGCTGGAGGTCAGGGACGTGAAGCTCCAGATCCAGAGACGTCCGCAAGAAGCACAGGACCTCAGGGGAAACACAGAGTTAGTGACATGTAATGGTGGTCATAGCTATACGGAAGGAAGCGAGAGGAGAGGAGAAGAGCTCAGTACATCATTAGAATCCTCCGGCAATCTAATGCTATAGCAGCATAACGAAGGGACAGTTCAGGTGATCCTGAGCAGCCCTAACTATAAGCTTTATCAAAGAGGAGCGTTTTTAAGCATAACCTTAAAAACAGAGAGGGTGTCTGCCTCCCAAACCCAAACTGGGAGCTGATTTCATAAGACAGGAGCCTGATAACTGAAGGCTCTGCCTCCCATTCTACTTCTGGAAACTCTAGGAACCACAAGTAGACCTGCAGTCTGAGAGTGAAGGGCTCTGTTAGGATGATACGGTACGGTAAGGTTTTTAAGGTAAAATGGAGCTTGGTCATTGAGAGTTTTATATTTTTAAAGCAGGATTTTAAATTCTGTCCCGGATTTTACAGGGAGCCAATGAAGAGAAGCTAATACGGGAGAAATATGATCTCTCTTGCTGGTTCCTGTCAGAACCCTGGCTGCAGCATTTTGGATCAGCTGGAGGTTTTTAAGAGAGTTATTGGGACATCCTGATAATAAGGAATTGCAATAGTCCAGTCTAGAAGTTATAAATTCATGGACCAGTTTCTCAGCATCACTCTGAGACAGTATGTTCCTGATTTTTACAATATTACGTAAATGAAAAAAGGCTGTCATGCAAACTTGTTTTATATTGCTATTGAACAACATATCCTGGTCAAAAATAACTCCAAGGTTCTTTACAGTAGAACTGGAGGCCAAGGCAATGCCGTCTAGAGTAGCTATCTGGTTTGATAGTGTGTTTCTGAGGTGTTTAGGGCCAAATACAATAACCTCAGTTTTATATGAATTTAAATGAAGGAAATTACAGGTCATCCAGGCCTTTATGTCCTTCAGACATGCCTGGAGTCTGACCAACTGATTGATTTCATATGGCTTCACAGATAAATTATAGCCGAGTGTTTTCTGCATAACAGTGGAAATTTATGCAATGCTTCCTAATAATATTGCCTGAAGGGAGCATGTACAAGGTAAATAATATAGGTTCTAACACAGAGCCCTGTGGAACTCCACAACTAACTCTACTGCAGGTGGAAGAATCATCATGAACATGAACAAACTGGAATCTGTCTGATAAATATAATTTAAACCAATTAAGTGCAGTTCCTTTTAGCCCAATTAAACATTCCAGTCTCTGTAATAAGATGCTGTGATCCACTGTATCAAATGCAGCACTGAGATCCAGCAGAACAAGTAAAGTATTAAAAATGTCTGTGCTCCTTGGCGCAAATGTGAAGCCATGAGTGACTTTGTCGTGATCGGGAGTCATGAGACAAAAACAATTTGGCTTAACTGGGCTGAACTCCAGGCTGTGTTTACACAGAGAAGATAGGTGTCAAAAGTAATTCAAAATGCAAAATGTAAGTAGTAAAATATTTATAGTACATGGAATTACCATGTTTTTAACTGAGTATTGGCAACACTTACGGAGACTTGGGAAAAGTTTACATGTTGATTCCAGTTTTGGTAAAAATAAATAATAATAAAAAATAACCTTCCTTTTCATCTTTTTTTATGATTTATGGTATATTTTGCAGTGAAAAATGAGCTTGCAGTGAGTAATAATGTAACAGGAGCAATAAACGCCCAGACCCTGCTTCGAAATTAGAGGGTCAAAAAAAAAAAAAGAAGCATACACTTTCCTTCAATGGCTTAATATTTTTACTGCACTGAAAAAAATGCAATGAGCATCTGCAGAGATTATTTAAATAAGGGTCCAAAGACAGCCAGTGCAGCCTTTCTGAAGCTGGGAAACAAAAACCCAACAGGAACATTAGGGGAACAGTTTTTTTCTCATTTCTGTCTCCTTTTGCTATGTGCAGGATTTAAGGCTGAGTGGCTTGCAGTGAAGGACGAGCACCTGTTTGTTGGCGGTCTGGGGAAGGAGTGGACCACCACCTCCGGGGAAGTCATCAACAACCACCCAGAGTGGGTGAAAGTTGTTGGCTCTAACGGGGATGTCGAGCATGAAAACTGGGTGCCGCACTACAACGCCCTGCGGAGCGCAGCAGGGATCCAACCACCAGGTGCTGAAACACTGCTTTTATTTATTTTTTACAGTCCCGTCTACATCCAACAGTGTCTAAATTTCATCACATCTTCTTTTTCACAGAGAGGTAGTATGAATTCTGTTTAAAATCACATTTAATGTTCATTTGTTGCTACTTTTGTATTTGTATTTGTAAAAAAAGACACTAATCTACTGCTTTATTTTTGGTTGATGTTTAATTCTATTATTATTTTACTACAGTATTATAGGAGAAATCTGTGTATCATATCAACTACATCAATCTAAAATACATAACTGATTTAAGTTTATGCAAAACTTAAATCTTAAAGGAAACAGCATATCATTTCTATCTTGCTGTCTCATTTTTGCAGTTTTCCCTCTCATGCTGCAGTCACACCAAATTTATCACACAACCTCAGGAGCTAGTATGGCTTTTGTCCCAACACTGCTACTTAAAAAGCATTTTATCAGACATATTAATGTCTTTATACTCAGTGCAGCCATCTTTTCTGTTCTGCTGCTTGTATTATTTCAGCCTACAATTATAAAAAGTATATAAACAAACACTGTTTCCTGAAAAAGAGATCAGTCCGTTTTCACAAACTGGCTTGATATAGGTGAACCATGCTCAAAATTCAGACTGAACTCTGTTCACAAAGAAGGTGCATCAGGTTTTGACCAGACGTACATGTGTTTTGCCTTGCTTTATATAGACAAGAGTACAGGACAGCTTGTTTTTAGCTTTAAAGACAAGAATCGGATCCATGTATTGCTGTCTGAAAGCAGGACTCACAACACAGATTTTGTGGATTCCGTTATCCAGATTTTTGCAGCCGACAGTCAGATGTCGCTTTTTTACAGATTTTAATGACTCAAACTGAACTATAAAATAGCATTTTGCGAAGTGGAAATCACACCCAGGATTTTTCCCTCACATTTATTCCTGTCCATCTCCCTTGTACAACTCTTCCTGTTCTGCAGGCTACCTTATCCATGAATCAGCGGCTTGGAGCGAGCGTCTCCAGCGCTGGTTCTTCCTCCCTCGCCGCGCCAGTCATAAGCACTACGAAGAGACCGCAGACGAGCGCCGAGCCACCAACCTCCTCCTGTCCTGCCCCACCGACTTCTGCCACATAACAGTACGGCACGTTGGACCATTCAACCCAACCCATGGCTTCTCCTCATTTAAATTCGTTCCTGATACGGACGATCAGATCATCCTGGCCCTGAAATCAGAGGAGGACGCTGGCCGGATTGCCACCTATATCATTGCGTTCACACTAGACGGTCGGGTGCTGATGCCCGAGACAAAGATAGGAGATGTGAAGTATGAAGGGCTGGAGTTTATCTGAAAGCAGCAGCAGTCCTCCAGCAGTTAGCAGATGGAGAGAGTGTAACATTCCCTTCTGGTTATACTGTGACTGAGAGGCACAAGACTAGACGTCAGGGTAGGAGGCTGCTATGTAACCAAGGAAGGACAATGAAGTGTCATAAACCAGACCTGCAGATTGATGCAGCCAAGTTGTCACTAGTCAGCCTGCACCAGATAAGATTTTTAATGTTTTAAAGTCAAAACTACTTCATATCAATGCTGCGAGATCTTCATTTTTTATAAACCTTGAGTTAAACAGCCTCGAATAAATCAGCATTACGGATATTCTGTAGTTTTCTGGCGTAAAAGGTAAGTAAATTAGAAGCCTTCAGTCCGTCAAACACCACGTAAAGTTACTCTCCTTTTCTGCAGCCAAACTCTGCTGGTCAGACACTCAGGGGAACAAACATTAAAGAGCATTGAAAAAAATAGGAGTGAATGTTCTTACATTACTTGAAATATGACACCTACTCATTACTTTATGTTTTACTTTACCTGTTTGGACACACTGAACTCTCTCTTATCTTTACTTGACATTTATCAACTGCTCATTAAACTACAAGCAATAAATTGTTCTGGTTCAGTTCACATTTGTTGATAAACTGAATATTACAGAAGCTTCTCAAGGCAGAGAACAAATGAAACACCAGCTGATTTATTTAAAGATTAACCATTAATATATTGCATTTGTATCCTCGTAAAAGGAAAATAATTAAAACTTGTCTTGTTTAAATCTCTTGTCCTGGTTGAGTTCACCAGCTGCAGTCACACATCTGATATACGACACAAATCAAAGTCCTAAACTCCTGTATGGTATTAATATGCTTATTTTGCTGGCTTATAACAACAAATTTATCAAAAGTAATCAATATACATTTTAGTATATTTTTATTACACAAGTTTCATTTAGCATTTGAATGACTTGAATGAGAAACATGGCTATTACACGGACTAAATGAACTTCATTAGAGCTTGGTTTGGATTGGTTTAACAAGCTGCCATGTAGCAACTATTCACACACAAGAGTTTCATCTCCAAACACTTTAAACCTGAGGGAAACCCTTGTGAGTGAACGTGTTCACAGGCTTGCTCCCATAGTGAGGATGTCCTGAGGTAGACCGTCCATCTGTATGGGTTTGAAGGAGCCCAGTTTAGAGAAAAAGTTGATCATTCGCCGATCGCTGTGCCGCAACTCACAAAACACTCCTTTGGACCCTGAAAGAAGAACAAAGACAGTGTTCAGTTGTAACATGTGTAACATGTTGATTGAGGAGAAACTTAGGAACAGCTAAAACCAAGCACAGCCAATAACCACATATGCACAGAGTTTAGATCCTGATATACTCTATTTTAAAACAAAATTCTCATTTAAAAAACACAACATTCAACTCTTGCAGGAGTATCAAAATCACAGATATAAACTGATGCTTTGAATGTCTCCAGCTGGCAGGTGTAAAGCTGAACACTTCCCCCTTGTGGTGAATCTTTTCCTGATAAAATGAGCTGCATCCTAAATGATTAAATTCATAGTGTGAGGCGTCGACCTACCGCTGCTCCTGATAGAGGACAACAGTCGACCAATCATACACTTAGCTGCAGACGGATCAGTGACCCGGGGCAACATTTGTAGGACAACCAGGGAGGGGAATTCCTTCAACACCGGCTCACTCACTGCCCTCTACAGGCAGGAGATAAAAACACAGTTAAGTGTTATTGCAGTTAAGTCTATCCTGGAAAACAATCACATTTTCTGTTTGATCACCTGAATTTTGGCAATAGCTGGTTTGGCGTCAGTGAGAGCCAGTGCATAGCCACACATCCCGATGTCATCCTCCACGACAAGAGCACACTGAGGGGAAGGTAGGAGTTCTCCTGCTGACAGGCTGAAATGGGTCATAGGGAGGGTTAAGACCAGTAGATCGGTAAAAACCGATTATAAAACCAGAAATACTCTGGGTAGGAAAACTTCCCTACCTGTCGCTGATGAGTGGCGTTTGTGCCATCATGGAGGATTTGGCATCTCCTGCTCTCTGCATCTCCCTGAAAACCTTCTGCACCTCCGTCTAGGATAAGAAACAAGTATGTAACACCACTTCTCAATTTTAGCTAACAGGTGACACAACATGTGACGATCCTCACTTTGTCTTCGGGGCAGTAGGGTCGTATGCAATAAACTGCCGTCATGAGAGCTTGTCTGAACAGGTCCCTGTTTCCGTGTCCTGGCAGCATTCTCTACAAACACATAATATGATAACATTCACTTACTTTCATAATTTACTTTCGGTAAAATCATATTTTAAAGGAGGATTATCAGCTCAAGGGCCCGAGAGGGCTTCTCAGGTTTTTCACAAAGAAATAGGGTGAAACAATGCACTCATCATGAAAGAATATAGTGATGCTGCACATCAAATTAAACAGCAGAACCTGGGCTACAAGAATATATAAGCCATTTTTACATGCCTCAAACACCAACTAAATGAATGATCAAATATGGAAATTGATATAGCGCCACCAAGTTAACCCACTCGCCACATTTCTGGCTCCAGCGCTTCGGTACTGTATGCAAAACGCACAAACAACCCCTCAAACGAAAGCAGACAGTCCACAGATTCCAAACATATCCATCAAAGCTCTTTAAAATTGAACCATCTGCGAGAAATATCCCAAAGAACAGCACATCTGAACAAATCTTACAAGTGTTCCTTTTATTACGATTCAAGAATTATTCAAATTGACCTTGTGGTTGCAGAGATAAACTGTTTTTATTATGGATATGTAATTTTCGAGGAAAGGCCTGAAAAATAGCTCAGGGCCTATAGGGTTAAGGTCTCCGATTCCAATACATTGTCCCTGAATCCACATAAAATAAAAGTTTGCTAATAAGGAGGCCAGGAAGTACTTGGATCCATTGGGTTTGGATGTATATATTTATAAGGTCAAAACTTAAGTTCAATGTTAATCGCCATGTATTTATTAATGTTGTAGGGTCTTAGCCTTAATTCCAAAATTACATTGGTTCAGCTCCATTTATATTTAAGGGCTAGTTTATTACATTACTTACATTAAGCTTCATAATTAATAGCACTCTACGATCTCAGCCTTATTATGTGTTATAGTCAGGTGAAATGGTATTTTGTTTTGTTTGTGTAGCATTTTAATCCCTGATTTTTAAATTACTCTTGTAAAATCACACTATAAATAACACTATTGGGTCTTAACCCCGATATTAGAATGTGGTAGGTTATTTTGTAACAGCCATCGCGATATTTTACTGGAAAACACAGAACAGCTGTTGTTTTAAATATGCTCTACAACAAATGGCGACTTGAAATTGTCACGGGAAACAGACCTGAAGGTATCATTTACAGAGGCAGAAGGGGTAAGAATTCTTAGGAAAGGAGGACAAAAATGTGCAATTACCTGTAAACAAGACTGATCCAGTTTATATATTATAAACAGAACCTAGACAGAGCAGGTCTGGAGGTGTCTTAATATATTAATTTCAGGTGACCCCTCTGCATCGATTTCATTAGACTCTGCTGATCGCTGGTCGGACTTGGACTGTCCTCATGTTTGGGCAGAAAGGACAAAGCCTCCTTTGCATATCTTAGTGGCACACTTTTCTTGGTCAGCTGGCTGCCCCAAAGAAGATCATTTTATATGGTGTTTCATAGTTTTTTCAGCTCATAAAAATAGCAGCAAACTACTTTATGAAATGTGAATATCAGAGGGGCTCGCTTTGATAGAAAGAGAATTAATAAGCAGGACTGTAAACTGCTAGATTTCTTTTGTAGCATTTTATTTTTTATTGCCTGGGGTTGTCTGCCATTTTGTATTATATTAATGCTTCATGCCAGCTTGAGAATGTCACTTCTGGTTGAAAGACATTCCCACAAACACAGTCTATCATGAAAACAATGAATTATTAGCAATAAAACAACGGTTTTGTTATGGTGATGTTACCTGGAACTCTCCAGACAGGGCTCCTCTGAACCTCCAGGGTTCAGGGTCATCCTCCATCACCTCGGTGGAGGCTTGACCCTCCGACCCTGTGGGAGCAGACACACAACATTTAAAGCTACAGTAGGCAAAACTTTACTTTAACCTTCCACTGAATAAAAGAATCACCACAGGTACAAGCCTGCGAGTGTCCATCACCAATCCAAATGTAGCTGCTGCAGTTTACGTCTATGTGGTGATCCACATGTTATAATGTTCACACACTGTTCACAGTAGTTGAGATCAAGGAAAAGGTTGGGATCCAAGGAAATGTTGATACAAGCTCATCTCTTATCAATAGGGCAGCAATCTATCAAATCTTTTTTGATTCATTTATTAGTTGTTTGGGCAATAAAATGTCAGAAAATGGTGAAAAATGTTAATCAGAGTTTCTTGAAGCCCAAGATCACGTCTTCAAAAAGATATTTAGATTTCCGTCATAAAGGAGAAAAGAAGCCAGAAAATATTTAAATTAAGGAACTGGAATCAAAGAATGTTACTTTGTTTTAGTAGTAAATACAATTAATTATCAAAATACTTGATTAATTAATATTTGCAACTAACTGGTTAATTGTTGCAGGTGATAGTACATAACTAATATAACTGGAACTAATTTGATCAATCGTATTTCAATAAAAAAAAACTTGGCAGACATGGATGATGCAGATATAAATGGGGGGTTTAAGGCTTGAAAACAGTGTTTTGCACATTATTTGCGTGTGTCTTTTAGATTACTGGTATAAATAGTTATTAGGTCAATTCAACCCCTTGTTAATTGGTCAACATTTCAAAAGTTTTCTAACCAAGTGCTTTCACGTAGGCTTGAGCCAGACCGACCCCACTCTTGATGTCGCAGATGTAGTTGTACAGGTCGTACAGGATGCTTCGGTTCGGAGCATTTGACAGTCGGTTGAACATCTGCACCACCGCCTCGCACATGTTGTCAAACTGCTGTGCTCTCAACCTCCACTCTGCTCCCTGAAACACACCATTGACAGAAGCGAGTGAGCGCAGCGTATAACGAAATTATCTGATCATTGAAGAAATATACAAACCTTACCTGGTCTGTCTCTGCAGTGGTAGCCTGTCTGTGGTTTTTGAGCCAGTCCAGCTCCTGCAGCATGGTTATGGTTGTGGTGCCGTGTTCGTAGGGCAGGTAGAAGAGGTCCGACAGCAGCTTCAGGTCGTCCAGCGTCAGAGGCTCGGCGGTGTACAGCGGGTTCTCGTCAGGACCGGTAACATAGGAGCTCTCATCTATGTCTGTCTGCATGGGCTCCTCATCTGAGCACTCCTTCTTGAGGCGAGCTGGAGGTCGAGGGCCTGGAAGCAGAGAGACACGGTCTATCTTTATGCTATACCCCCATGTTTGTGCCTTTTGATACCTTTAAACTGCCTTTTTATCACCTCCTGGTTGATCTGTGCTCATGAACTCCTCCAGCCAGTCAGTGAGGGCCAGCATCAGGGCCTTCTGGGGGCTGTAATAGGGGTCCTGTTCCTCATCACCTGGTGTTGGAGGTTGGACACAATGAGATGGTGTTCAAGCTGGTTTATGGGTGTCCTACTACAATCCTGTGTTTGGAAGCAAACCCAACATCTCCAAAGATGTTCAGCCTGATTGTCTGTCATGCTGTGTTCGCCAAAGCTGACAACCCCAAAAGTGGCCCGTAAAATGTTTTAAATGATGAAGCCTTGAGTTGAATCACATCAATCAAAATAAAACTTTACTGCAATGACGACAGACTCCAACAACTCAGATAAATGAGAATAATGTATGTAATCTGTATTTTTTCAGACAAAACATTAAAAGGTGTTGAATTTCAGTTGTTGCTTCCAGCTGTTTGCAGGAGTCTTTCCTCTAGGCGTATTAAATACCTGCAGCATTAGACAGCTACAGGATTCATAGGAGCATCTTCAGGGCAAAAGTGCATTCAAGCATGCAATGCAACTTCATTATTTACTTGAAATAACAAATTATCCCTAACACAGAGGAAGGAAAATTAGGATCTAACAGCTAGTCACACTGTGTCGCAGGTTATGAGCTGCTGTTAAATCATTTGTGTATAGCGTTCGTCTTAAGGTTGAGTTCTGAGCTCCCCCACCAGTTGTCAGAATATTTTATTTAATATTATATTTGACTGTTGGTAAATTAGTAGTTAGATTATTATCATTTTCAGTGTTCGGGAGATCATAAATAAACTAGGCTGTAAGTTATTTGGACAGCTTGATAAGCTGCTATTAATTTAGAGTTGTTGTGTTTGTGCATTATTATGTATTATACATCACTTGATATACTGTCCAATTTTTGCATAAACAACAAATATTGCTCTCTGTGAGTGCTCTCATGAGGAATATAAAAAGTGACTTCTGTCTGATTGACAGAATGTCGTCACTTTAACAGGTTAATGAAGCAACAGTGTTGCATATCCCAACACTCAAGAAAAGGGCTTAAGACCGCAGTTCTGGAATTTAGTCTTGTCTCAGCAACTTAAATAAATGTCTCAGAAAAGTCTTAAGTATAATGATCATTTTGCAAAGCGACCACAGATTTAAAACTGTTTGTTTCGCTAACATTTCAGGCAGCTACTGGCATCTATTCCAGGCTATTACTCTAGAGCTGTAGAATTGAAAATCCTCTTTCAGCTTCTGTTTTTATTCCACCACAGTTTTTTGAGGTATGTTATTATTGCATGATAACGCAGTTGAGAGCATAGTTTTGTTTTCGGTGTGTTCCGTCATTAAAAACTGGTCACTCACCCATTTCCACGTCCCTCGGTTCTCCGTCAGTAAGCGCTTTACACCACGTTGCCAAAGTGTGAATGGCCACAAAGTTCGAGTAAAATTCACAGTTGGGGTTAGTGAGCACTCCTTTCAGTTTGGGAATCAGCTCAGTGGGTCGATCCTTTTTCAGGAAACAAAATCATTTCAGGATACGCATCCCAAAGGTCAGACTGGATACAATCTAACACGGTTATAATACAGCAAAAATGTACCTTATAGGGTCCAAGTATAAGCCTTTGGGGATCATAATCGTTGGCATGAATATTGTCCCAGATGACTGGCGCTCTCCTTAGGACTGCAGACACCTCCTCTATGGACTCAACCGAGATTTTGTGGGAGACCACTTTTGGACCTAAATGATACAAATGGAAAGTAGAATTACCACCTTGCAACTTCAAGCCTCTGCTGACCAGTCAAGTTGCAGTTTACATCCACTTCTGCGTAATGAAGACTTTCAAGTTTTAGAGAAACAAAAGACACATCAAATTCTGATAGAGCATGTCAGCAGACGAAGCTGCAAATGTGGATGTTGCTGCAAATAAGCTACAAATTCTTAAAACGTGGATGTTTCACACCCAATTTCCCAATTTTGTTGTATGCAGCGTTTACACTGGCAATAAAGGCTTTCTCATTCATCTTCAGTTCAGGAGCACAGAAGATCAATACAGTCACCACAGTTTTAAGATGGGCACCTCAAATCAGTGTCACCAAACCACTATGTGACCAAATGTGAAATATGGTCACAGTTTCTCCTTCTGTTTGAGTTATGCTGATAAATAAAGACCAGAAAAGGGTTTTTGCAGAACCTTGTGATGGTACAGTGTTTAGTTTTGGATATAAAATGTCTTCATTTGAAAAAGTATTAGACGTTTGTGTGGAAATATGCTATAATTAGCATATGGATGCTTGAATTATGGCCAAAAACGTGTTTTATAACCAAAATCTAACCAGTTCATCCATGTTTGCGCCAAGTTTGAAGGAATTCCCTAAAAGGTGTTCCTGAGATATTGCATTCCAAGAGCTAGACTGATCGATGGACAACCAAAGAGTATGCCTTCAACCACAGCTGTTGTTGGCACTGAGGCATAAACCTGCATTAGAGAACTCTACCTCTGATTACTTTTGGGAAATTCAAGATCATGGAAACAGGTTGAAAATGTAAAATTACCCGTCCACAGGATGTCGATGCCGGGCAGGAGCTTCTGTCCCACAGTGTTCAGGTACGAGGACTGAGAGACAGTGGGAGTACAGAATCTAGCACAGTAATCTGGGGTTAAATGAAGAAAGCAGAAGAAAAAATAAACTCTTTCTAGCTGGTAGAAGCTCATAACTCTCCGTCCGTGCTCCAACGGACTGAGGTTGGTGTTTATTCATGTTAGGTTTGGTGTCAGTTTCAGCGTGTGACCTGTGGGGCAGAACAGGAAGGTCTCGGGTTCCCCCAGATGCTGGTATACGTCGTTGGTGATGGCCACCTGAGCGTGAGCGAAGGAGCTGAATGCCCGCTTATCAGCCGCACACATCTCCCTCTCAACGTCGTCAAAGAGCACAGAGAAGGAGCTGCAGCCGAACTCCTTCACCTGAGGAGGGAAAAGGGACAAAGCTGAATTTAAAACACACACAATCCAACAAGCTGAGATGCATCACTTTTCTTTCAAAATGTCTCACTGTGACAATCCTCTTTTTATCCACCAGGAATGAAACTTATTATCTGCAGCAGCATCAGTGGCATCAGTTAGCCTATAGTTGATCAGCTATTTAACTGCTTTATTGCTGTAGGTTTCATATTAAGTGTCCAAAACAAACCCTCAGAAAGCCATAAAGCTGAATACGATTGATGATTAAATGATCTCCAACCTTTATCTGTGATCACAAAGTCCCCACCTGATCCAGTTTCCTCTTCAGGGCAGCAACTTCTTTGGGGTTAGAAAAGGTAATGTCCAGGCCGGGAGAGATAGCATAGATGAAGTCCACATTGTGCTGTTTAGCCGCTGATATGAGGGCGATCAGTTGTTCTGGGTAATGAGAAAGAGACAAAGAAGAAAGGGTTGTTTAATATGGAGGTAAATGGTGCACAAGTTGACAAGTTTTAGTCGGTGATCACTTCTGATTGTTGAAGGACACTAGAAAGGAATTTAAATGAGCTGCTTTGATCTCACAGTTTTCTGTGTGTAAAACTTAAGAGACTATAATAATGCAAGTTGGTCCAAAGTCCATCAGAGACAAGATAGTTTTGGCTAGTTACATTTCAATCACCTCTGCCCTTCAGTCTGTCATGTTATTGATAGTGTCCAGGCAACCAGCGCTTCAAACCGAATCATTAAACAGCATCTCTGAGATAATGACCCAGACAGCAAACAAGAAAAGTATATAACCCATTTAAACACATTTTATTTGCTTTTTGATTCAGTTTGTGAGCGAGGATTGGAACAAGCACTTCACAATTTAAACTGAGAATCAGTTTTTGGCTATTTTTAGTTCAGTTTTCCTGAACTTTGGCTAGCAGGGAGATTAGAAGTATTAAAAAAGCAACACGTTTTGTGTTCTGAGACATTGTATGACACAACAAACTGCTAAGGATCTTTTAAATGTAGTTTCTTTTCAGTGAATCAGGTGACACTTTGGTGTTCTTGCATAAAATGACATTTTATGCAATCAAATCACATTTTTTGCAGATGCCTTTTTACATGTATAAGTTATTTTATTCAGGATGTCCTTCTTAACCTTCTTAAAGGCTGTAACTGACTGACAGTGTGTTCTGTTGACTTGCAAGTGAACCAGGAGTACAGACGTGGCACATAGTCCTGTTACTGACGTGCTGATCCTGTTCTGCAGGATTTAAAAAACTGTCAGCAACTCTACCAGACCTGAGGCTCTGCAGGAGCCTCCACAACACTAGATTTATTCTTTTTTCTCTTTGTTTGATTAACAAATTCACTCTGTGGTTTCTTCAGGTCTGTTTCTTCTTTTATGCTGCTTCTCTTGACCCAAGAATGGAACAATTAAATAGATGCAGCAGGCTTTGCACCAAAGCGATTTAATAAATTTAGTGTTAGCAGTCTGCAGAAGCCTATTAATGGCAGTGTTGCTTTTCCCAGTAGTCTGTGAAATATCATGTGTTATATTTCATTTTCATCTTTAAAAAAAAGGTCGATGTATTATACAATATTACATTTTTCATGTTTGATCCAACTTTACTACATCATAATAATTGCCAGTATTATTTCTTAGATTTCTATTCCAGTCTTATTTTAGCTTACAATTTATATTTTCACTAATGAATCAGGCCTACATCTTATTGCTTTACTCAGCTCAGCATTTTCTCATAATTTCGTTTTTGTTTTCTGAGCAAATTCCTTCAGGATTAATGAAGTTTTATCTCATCTTTTTACTCATACATGCAAGTGTGCACAAATTACTTTCAGGCCTTTAAACCAAGGGACCCTTAAAAGTAAGGTTCTGCATATCTACGAAGACAGCCACCAAAGAAATAAGACTGTTTAAGAAATGAGAGTGTTCAAAGAAACACGAGATTTGTGATTTCAGAGTGTGAACATGTGACTCTTACCTGCCTCCTCAGCAGAGTACAGGTCTCTCCAGTACATCCTGTGTTTGTAGTCGTCTTTGGGGGCATAGAGGTACGCATTCAGCCCCCACTTCTGCTCCCTGTGAAGGTCAACAACAGTCGCACGATTTTCAGTTCAGCAGATCACTGAGCGTACAAGTCGAACGATTATCAGTGCAGCTTATTAATGGGTCCGATATTCAGCATTTTTCCAGATATCCTTATTCCAAATAAAATTATATAACTAAAAAATGTGTTAGCTGCCTCTCTCCATCTGTAGCTACCACTCTGTGGTCAGGAGCATCTGATTGGTTAAATGACACAAGAAACAGCCAATCAACATTGAAGGAAGAAAGTTTTCAATTTAAAAAAGTGCAAAACATAAATAAACAAAGGCCTTTCAACAAAGCTTTGTGTTGGGAGTTTGTGTTATTCAAAATTGTGTCACCAAGATATTCATTTTCACAGAAATTTATGTCAGTTCCAAATGTTGTTTATTGATCCTGTTGATTACTAATAATCAGTATGTGACATTTAAAAAAATAATAATTGACTGACACTTAAATCTGACCAAATTTTAACAACTGGCATCAGATATTCAAGAAACCCGTAAGCCAGTGCTTTGAAAGATGGGCATTAAACTAAGCATGTACTGGGCAGAAATTTGTGACTCTACAAACTGAATTTGAACAAGTTAGATTTAAATTTCAATTGCTCAACTTGAATTAAATTTGATTTAAAATCTATAATTTGCATGTGAATTTCTCAACTTGAATACCTGTAACACCATTTTGAATTTAACCCTCTTTTTAAAAAAACAAAAAAACATACATTATATGAAGTTATTATTATTATTACTATTACTATTATTATTGATAAATTAAAACTAAACTAGCAGTGCATTTCCAGTTAAGCTTCTTTACTTCCTTACCTCTTGAACAGCTCTGTTCTTTGCTCCATAGTCCACGGTCGCCCATAAAAACCTGCATCAAGCAAAAGTCCAATTAAACTTCAAATTGTGCCTTTTTTTTTTTTTTTTTTTAACCAGAAAGTATCCATACATGACTAATATCCAGGATGCATTTTAACCCCAGAAATTTAACTCGGATTTTGTGGTGGGTCAGTCCAGCTCTGGTCCGGCTCTGCTCACCTTCCACCACCCCGCAGATGAAGCGTCCAGCTCCAGTCGGAGGCTGCGACTTTGGTTTCGACATGTTTTTACAGCAAAGTTTGATCTATTTCCTACTGTGTGCTTTCAGACAGCAGCTCTGCAGTCTGCTATGTGTCTGAGCTTCAGCCTTCAGGTTGTTTCACATTTATTCCACCTTCCTCTCAGACCTGCGCAAATCGGATGCGTTTGGAGCAGCACTGCGCAGCATTATCTGAACCCTGATCGAAAGTCTAAAAGCTGTAAACAATGAAGTGAAGGAGGACAAACACGGATATTGTCTGGAGATGAAGTGACCTCACATTCATGTTGACTGAATGTATCTCACTTCCGGGTGTACGTCTTAAAGAGACGCTGCGGGCTTAAAGGGACAGTTCGCCTGAAAACACCTTTATTAATTCATTTTCACTCATTCATTCAACCTTTTTGTAAACTCTGAGCACACGAACGTATAGATGCCTCATTTGCAATGTAGCCAAGTACGAAAATAATTGATTTCGCCACACAAATAAGAGGAAACTTGGATAACAGCAGCAACAAAAAATAATAAAAGGCAAATTAAATAGAGCTGTTGATATATAAAGAGAAATGAATCAACTAAAACAAGAGCAGCTGGAAGTAAAATACGATGAATTTAAAAACCAGGATTTTTAGCTTACAGTTCACAGAAATTCGGTTCAATTCATCCATCCATCCATCCATCCATCCATCCATTATCTATACACCGCTTGATCCTCACTAGGGTCGTGAGGGGGCTGGAGCCTATCCCAGCCGACTTAGGGTGAAGGCAGGGGACACCCTGGACAGGTCACCAGTCTATCACAGGGCCACATTTAGAGACAGACAACCAAGCACACTCACGTTCATACCTACGGACAATTTGGAATCACCAATTAACCTCAACATGTTTTTGGACTGTGTGGGAGGAAGTTGGAGGATTCGGAGAGAACCCACACTGCACGGGGAGAACATACAAACTCCACGTAGAGAGATCCAGGGTGGCGAGGCAACAGTCAATTATATTCATTCAATTTTATTTTTATAGCGCAGTTTACAACACGCCATCACATAGTGCTAAACATAGTAAGGTTACCTAAGGTTACCATAGTAAAGTTACCTTACAAATTTAAACAGGGAACCAACAATCCAAAGTTGCCTTTGGACTCCATCTGAGCAAATGGTGGGAAGGAACCAACTCACTCAAGCTTTATTTAAACTTGGATTACATTCGGTTTAGGAAGCCTCATTTGCAATGTAATGTAAGAAGTGGCTTGGATGGCAGCAACAATTAAACTATTAAAAGATGAAGTTGGTAAAACAATAAAAACTAAAAGAAATTAACTAAAAAAAAAAGTGGACATAAAATAAAATTAAATCCTCAAACAAAGGGCTCACAATAAAAGCCAGTGATAACATATTGTAATATTGTAAGGGGACAAAAAACAAAAAAAAAGGTACAAATAAATAAATAAATAATACCCAGTGTTTGTTACACCTTGCAGAGAGTGAAGTTCACCCAACCACAGAACACAGCTCAGTGATGAGTATTATAGTTATCACTAGTAATAAATCTTGATGCACAATGATAAGCATTGTCCAAAGGCCACTGATGTAAAAAAAGAAAAAAGAAAAAAAAAGAAGAAGCTGTCACCATAATCCAGGTAGTAAAGTTGAATGCATTAGCATTTTTCTACAAGGCAGTGATTTATTGAGAAAACTATTTTTTTGCCATCAACTTGGACATACAATATTAAAATGCTGCTTTTCTATCGATCCAAGTTCCCAAATTTTTGTAATCAATGACTTGTACAATGTTTTAGTCACTCTTAGTAGAGATGATCCGACTGTCATAAGTAGAAGTTATTGTTTGAAGTTATCTGATCAGATTTCATCTACTAAATCAAATTAAAAATGGATTATTCAAAAAAACAAAAAATCTGAACTCAGATTATATCCCATAACCCAGTTTTGATTTTGATCTGAACAAACCCTTAACTATCTGTTATTCAAAACTTTTAAGGAGTACATGTGCATGTCACCTCCAAAAAAAAAGGAGCGGAGCAAGGGACTTTTATTTTGAAAAACATATAAAACAGTACTGTCTTTGGACATTTTCATAAAAAGTCACCAGAGTGTATGAAACTAGGCTCAAAACTTCCTGGGGGGAGGGTGCGCAGAGTCCCTTCCACAGTGTTTGAACTAACCCTGTGTTTATAATGCATTTATGCTTTACATCTACCTGACTGAGGTAAAAGCTACAGCTGGGAATAAAGACACACCTGACTTCGCCACATTCCACCACAGCAGGTTAGGCGAGAAAATCAAGACAAACATCTCATGGAAGAGCTTTTACCTCATGTCAGCCACTGTCGTCAAAACCAACTGTTGTTGATTAAACCCTTAAAAACTCACCTTTGAGTACAAAAAGTACATTTTTACCCCCAGAACAATCATTCCTATCTGCTTGAAGTGGCTTAGATGTAACTGTACACTGTTGCTTTCTTTAAACTCTGCAGAACTATGAAGTCCATGCCTCTCTCCACTTACTCACTGCAGCTCAGCATACCAGCTCACCTATGTAGGATATGGACAGACACAGATGCCAAAAGGATTCCAGAGGCTTCATTTGAACTTTCCAGCATCCAGTCACATGTCATAAAAGACAGAACTATTCTGCAGGCCACAGGGTCATGTAAATTAGTTCTGCAGACTGGGGCAAGCCAAAGCCAGGACTAGCAGAGCCCACTTAGGAATTCCCTTATCACACCTATCAGAGCTTCAGAGGATCTAACACAAAGAAGCTTTTGGGGGAAGACAAAGAAAAACGTTCAACCACGCAGACCTTAACAGATGGCCCAAATGGCCGGGTGCAATGAAGTGCCCCGGGCTTAACATATTGCTCTGTTGACCCCTCATTTCCTGTGGCATGCAACAACTGAATTTATGAATGAACAGTGAAGACACAGTACCAGAGGATGTGCCTTATTATCTTATGTTAAGTTTAATTGTTACACGCTATGGTATATCATGTATATCATATTCATACTCCAAAGCTTAATTACAGTTGGATAAGTCCTTCTTTAATTTATCAGCTTGTTGTATAACCATATCCTAAGCATTGTGGTGTTTCTGTAATCGTATGAGACAGATGTTTAGACTCCCCGGGAAGCTTTACATGTGACACATTCATTTCCAACAAGCTTAACTTTGTATCAGTACAAATACATATAGTTCTAAAGTAATATTGTTACTTTCAGAGCAAAACTCTGACCACCGCATGACCACTCCACGACCCCCCCCTGTGATACAAGGGTGTCTTATCTAAAAGCCCCACCAGGAGGGGGGCCCTCTGTGATTGGTCGGGTATTTTACTATTAAAAAGCCTCTTCACCCGAAAAGCAGTGGCATTCTCTAACTGCAGTAGAGCTGCTCAGTTGGTCTTCCATGTTCTCAACTTTGACTGCCACACCCTGATCTTCCCGCTCTGGAGCTGAAGGCCTCGTCTCTCCATCAGGCATCAGACGTCGCTGCACCCACATCCCAATCCAAGGACGCGGCAAGTATTGAGCTTTCATCTCTAAACGGGTGTTTCATGATTACAATTGGCCTTTCGACCAATATTCCAAATTTAACAGATTATCTGCTGCTTCAGGTGAAAAGACTTTTAAGTCTCCAGGCCACCATTCTGTTTCACATTCGGTTTTTCCACACACATACTCTCAACCAGCATTTTCATCATTGTTTGTATTTTATATTTTATGTTTGTTGTTGTAATTTGTTTGTTTAGTTAGTAATACATGTTGTGTGTGTATACAGTTGTTTCCTGTGTTTTCTATAGCTTACTTTCAGTCACTTTACGTATCCGATCTTTAGTTACCTAAGCTCTAAGTTAATTCCCTTAACTTTATAAAACACTCTTGACTGATCACCAAGAGTAAACAGTTTATTAGAATTATTATGCTGACTCTGAGATTATATCGCTGGACAAATAATTCAAAGGTTGGTTTTAATAATTTTAATTAATGCAATCACTTGCTTTGGTGTGGAAATAAGTATATCTTGTTTCTACCCTACACCTACGACTCTGCTCAAACACTGTACATCTACTCTACGCTACACAATGGCAAGTTCTAATATTTAGGTATCTCAACCATACTTGTTCTAGCTCAAAACTAAAGAATGATACGGAAAGTCCCACCAGCAAATCGACAGGATTGGTTCCTTTGATTTGTGACTTACAAAACCCCCAAAAATCTTAATCTGTGTTTTTAAAACTGTCATTGGTACACTGCAGTTTTAATGTGGAAATACTCAACCATGGTGTTGGCTGCTTATCTCACTTGTTGTGTGTCCAGCATATAAAAAACACATATGCAAGTGCAATTCATTCATGAAAATATTCTTAGTTTGTGTTCTTAGTATCCTTGTGTTCTTCTGATTTTCTTATTTATATTGTATATATTGTATATCCCTCGCCTCTTTAATGTATAGTTGTGTTTGCCTGCTTTTCTTACTGTCACTTTGCTGCAGTGACATTGCAAATTTCCCCTTGTGGGACTTATAAAGGATATTCTAATTTATTCTATTCTATATGAACAAGTTACCAAGGTAAAAAACCTGATTTTAAGTAACGACAATAAGCACAATGAGTGGATGGGAACCTTAAGCAACCACTATACTTAAATCATGACAGCATATTAACTGATCTTGAACCTTATACACTGCAAACACTGTACTTGGTACAATTATACAATCAAGTGGCCCTTAATTAGGGTCCGAGCACTACAGTGCGTAGGACCCTATTGTAACCCTTGTGATAATTTTGAAATGCGATTTTGAGGGCCTAAACATGCACGAAAACTCACCAAAATTGGCACACACATCAGGACTGGCGAAATTTTGATATTTTAAGGGAGCTAGACATGTCAATGCCAAAATGGCTCCACAGCACCACCCTGAGAATTTCAACGGAGTCCCATCTGAAGCACATTTGACCTCAACCTACGCAATTTGGTAGGTNAACTGTAAATGCTTTTAATTGTCGCTTTTTTTCATTTTGTTTTTATTCCCTGTTTTTTCTGTTTTTATTATTGTATTGAAATTCTGTATTGTTTTCATGGTTGTTGTACATTCGGCATCATTGTAAATGAGGGCTTGCTCTCAATGATTTCCCGAATCCAAATAAAGGTTGAATGAATGAATATGGAGGAGGTCAGGACGAACAAAAAAGTCAGTGGCAACCATACCCTAAACCCAACAGGAAGTCTGCCATTTTGGATTGTTCGTTTGTCCAACCTGAGGGAACTCCTCCTAGGGGGTAAGTCACTGAGTGCTGAAATTTGGGTAGCATGTAGAATACGCCTTGAAAGTAAAATATTATCAAAACAATCTGCAAGGTCAAAGGTCGTGGCCACAGCGGCCCTCTGATTTTTGATCCTTCGCCATGAAAGAGGCAGTACTGTGTAACTACCCTGTACATACTCCAATCTGCCTCAAACTTTTCATATTTGATCAGACTGCGGTTCTGATGACACCCATATGCCCAAATCCATTCACAGTCATAGCGCCACCTATTCGAAACAGGCTGTTTGAGGCATTACTTCCATGTGCCATTACTTCAAACTTTTTGATCATTCTTAAAATTGGTCAGCTAAGTCTTCCCACATTGACGATGCTACAGTGCGAAGCGTTTGCGTTTTCAAGCAACAGTGTTGCCATGGCGATGCATAGTTGCAATGACACGGAAACGACTTTTTGACAGCTTCGGAATGCTCATTAACTCACCAAAATTGACATACAAGTCACTATCGGCTCAACCACAGACAATGTGTGCCGGTTTGGCAAAATGGCTCTATAGCGCCCCCTGCAGCAATTTATCCATTAGCCCCCGCATGACGTTTAACCAACGTTCACAAAATGTGGTAGGCATATGTAACACATCAGGATGCACAAAAAAGCCTCTTGGACCCATACCGTAAACGTAACAGGAAGTCTGCCATTTTGAAATAACTGTGCAGTTTTTTTTGTTTTTTTTGTCGTATTCAAGAGTTATCTCCTCCTAAGTGTTAACTCCTACATGCGTCAAATTTGGCCAGTGCAAACAATAGGGCTTGGTGATTGAAAGTTATCAAAACGCTCCACAAAAGTCTGAAGGCGTGACAATGACGGCCCTCTAAATTATGATGATTCGGCATCAAAAAGGAAGCGTGTCTAACGACCCTGTACATGCTCCAATCTGCCTCAAACTTTACATACTTGATAACAATCCTGCCCTGATGAAACCCATTTTGCAATATTCATTCACAGTCATAGCGCCACCTGCTGGCAACAGAAAAGCATGTGTTTCACACTTTCATGTACATTTGTAACATCTACTATGGCCAGCACGTTTCACCTACATCCATGAAATTTGCTGGACACATGCAGCACATCCAGATGATCAAAAAAGCCTGGAGGCAAGATTCACCTAAACCCAACAGGAAGTCTGCCATTTTGGATTTTTCTTTTCTCAACCCTGTGCACACTCCTCCAAGGGGGCAAACCACAGAGCGCTGAATTTCAGGTAGCATGTAGAGTACTATTTGAATGTAAAAATTTCTCAAAAGCTCTGTATTTCATTGAAGGGTGTGGCCATGACAGCCCTCTGATTTTTGTTCCTTCGCCATCAAAAAGGAAGCCTGTCTAACGACCCTGTACATGCTCCAATGTGCCTCAAATTTTGCAGACTTGATCACAGTCCTGCCCTGATGAAACCCATATGCCAATATCCATTCAGTCATAGCGCCACCTGCTGGCAATAGGAAAGAACATGTTTTACAATTTTATGTGCTATTATTAGCAGGTTGACTGTATTCACCTCAAATGGAATGAGGTGAGCCTTTAGACGTTGATAATGACTCATACCAAGAATTGTGAGTCTTCATCAAGCTGCGTGTCCGTGGCGGCCCTCTGAACCGCTCAGCCCACTCCTGTGATGCTGGCTGACTGCAGCTTGCTCCTCCACTTAACAGCATTTGCTGGTTTTTTAAGAAAGTGACGGTTAGGTTATTGTCACATTGCCCGGATCGCATTTCTGCCGCAACCCCGACGTGTGCTGCATCCTACACGTTTACAAGTTCCGCCTGCTGGCATTTTAACACGACAATGCTTGAGAGACAAAGGTGTAACTATTTTCAATTTGGTGTGGCAGAATAGTCAGTGGATAAACAATAGGGCCCTTAATTAAAGTAATTAGAGTACAACTATGTTACAACAGACGATTTAATACATCTGCCAGAAGACGATAAAACTTGAAAAACGTAGGTGAGGCAGATATTTTCAAGCTAAATCCATATTTTATATAAAAACTTTGTATTTGTTAATGTACTCTTTAAATTTCCAAGTGCACAATGAAGGTAAGTTCTCATAAAGTTGCTGACTCCATAAGAGACGAGAATGAGAGGTCTGAATAAAGTAAATGTAAACAAAGACCACAAAAAATGTGACAGAAATCTATTTAAGATACTGAAACCTAAAAGACCAGAAAGATACAGATGAGCTTGGAGCAGTTACAATTATAGTAGAGATGAGAAAAGACATGTCAGGGAAGGTTGAGGTTGTCTTATGGGTCAGATTTGCTGTAGTATTTTGGAGTTCGACTTGTAAAACACAGTTAAAACAACATTAAAACAGCATAAACACTGCATATTTAGCTAACTGGGATCTCCACATTTATTGTGGCCACAGTGAGCGTGACTGATTTGTGCCTTTGTAGAAAAACATGTAAAACTGAATGAAGAAAAAGATGTCATAACTGGAAATAAATCCAATAAACAGCCTTTATTTCAATATAGAAAACTTCATCAGTGCTATGGAATGCAACAAAAATTTTGTTTTCAAATTGAGAGTTTATACAAATTTGCTTTGTACATCTAAAACTGCATGCATATAAGAGTGCTACTTAATTGTACATATAAACTTTACACATCCAAACTACATGCATTTACAGCGTATTAAAAGTGAAAACATGGGGGAAAAAAAAAAAACATCAAAAATTTTGCTACATGAGTATGAGCACATCGCTCTGAGGTCACATCTCTTTGTTCTGCACATCCAGACTGGCGTTATTGTTCTCCAGAGGCGCTGCTACCTCTTTATTCCTCTCTGAGCCTGTTTCAGCAGCGAATCAAAGTCAAGATCCTCATATCGGCTCTTGGACGGTGACGGAGCTGTGTCTCTGTTCGCATCTGAGGAAAGAGAGAAACATTTATAACTTCACTGTGATGTCTATTGAGCTACCAAACAGACAAAATAATCAGGGCAACTGTATAATGTACCAGATTCCTGCAATAAATGCTACCTTTATGAGGCTCTACAACATTACAGTCAACAAATTATCACGTGTTCATTTCGGCCTCGAGCCTGCATGTAGGTTCACACAAACAGGATTTATTTTATTCACCAGATATCATGGTTCGTCTGGTGCTGCCTGTTAAATTGCTGATTGCGACTGATATGCGAAGGAACAGCGACATTGTTCCCATTCAAGAAACGACTTTCCAATATGTTTTCTGTGTCTCTGTTCACACCTGGCACCAATATGCATCTCAGGTAATCCAATCAGAAGCTCTATGCAGGTGTAAATGCACCCAAGATGCATCAAGACACACTTTGTTTTAGCAGCATGTTTGTAAACGTGTCCTGACAGACAGACATCTAAGAATATACAAAAATAAACAAGGTTAAATTACCACAATTATTTTTAAAAATGTCAACAAAAGCTGAAATTTAGAAGCTTCATGACAGTAAAATTTATGGCAGGGCTGGATTGCATTAGATTTCAGCAATTAGTAGCAATTCATATCCTTTCCGAATGCGTTTAAAAGCATTTGACACAAAGCTGCACAAAGCAAAAAGACTCCTTCTCACCCACAGTTGCTCAACTTCACACGATGCTGGAAAAGCAAACTAAGCTGCATTATTTAAACTGGGCCTAAATGTGTGAAGCTGGTGATAATGGGATCTCAGTTTTGCCGCCCAGAGGCTCAATTTTACTAATTTCTACTTCCTTGTCTCCTCAACTCCTCCCTCGTCCGGCCTGTGACCTGGACATCCATCTTAGTGCGTTGTCACAATCCCTAATATGCATCTTGAGGACACTGCTGGAGGATCTGAGTGAGGATGACACTCAGCTACAATATACAAACCACGGTGGAAACAGGACTGACAGTTGTGTTTGTTATCCAATATCTCTCAGTGTCTGTGTGGCAGCTCCTCTTTTATGTGCCACAACTCTTTTAAACTTCATTTTATACTGACATTAAAAATTAAAATGTGTGACATCCTCATCATTAATGTCACTCTGCTCATCTGACAGAGATCCTAAAATACAGTTTTAGGTTGGAACGAAACAACAGACAGATGATGTAGCTGTGCAACATGTCATATTTAACTGATGTTGCTTTAAAACAACAGATCTGAGACAAAGATGTGTCACTTTGATGCCTGTTGCCTCCAGTCCTCTCTCCATCACCTCCTCTGCTTGACTCTCCGGTAGGAGAGACTAAGAAGACTACAAACTGGAAAATGAGATGGGAGGCAGCTATTTGGGCTGTTAATTGCCTCCTCATCCATCATCATTACGTAGCTGGAGGAACCGTAGGTGGCGGCAAGCACCTTCGACATTACTTTTCTCTGTCAAATGAGGTAACAGAGATTCATTGGCTTTACTGTACATGAGCCGATCGCACTCACTGTTGTGTGGTAACAAAGGTTCATTCTGAGGCAAGAAAAACCCAGATTATTATTGCTGCTGTTGCTTAGACAACAGTCATAGAAACGCAATCCTGCAACTGATGAATTGCTAAATTATAAGCACATATAAAAGCGAAGCAGCCCACAGTTGGTAAAGTTTAAAGGATCCGTTTGTATAATTGTTAGTGCTAGAACTGCACACCAACTTAACATTACTTGGTTTGATTTAAACACCTACTAAATTGTGGGGTGCCTGTTCATTCGCTGAGCCAATTTAACTTTATCTGCTCCCTTAAAACATTTTTTTATTGCAGAGATCCAACATCTTGCCTATAGCAAAAATGGCAACCTTTCAGTATTTTTTCAAAATTTTCATGACTTTTCCAGGACATGTGGAACCCTGTTTGTCAGTAAAGGAATGTGACTTTGCTGTTGGTGTTTCCATCATCCCTTAACACTTATTTAACAGCTCTTCAAACACAATCAAAGTTTACTCAAGGGGAAAAAAAGTAAAACTGTGTTCTCTCTTTCCAGCTCTTCCAGATCAATCAACAAGACATAACACTGTTCTCTCACAGCTCTTCATGTGTAATAGTATCATGTTAACCACTGGTCTTTACTGTACTAGTCATATGTCATAATGTACGTGTCCATATGTAGATTCATCATATTATGATAATGAAATAGGTCTCTGTGAGATCTTTTTCATTATTACATCTTTACTTTTTAGCCCTGTTGTACTTTTTGTCATTGTTGTGCTTCTTTCTGCCTTAAACATGTGAATTTCCCCAGTGAGGAATCAATGAAGTTTATCTTACCTAGATCAGCGTAGTCAGAGTTGCAGAACTGCCTCCTTCCACCAAAGCAGATGTCAAACGGCAGCTCATCAGGCTTCCGTAGTTTGCCACCGTTGTCGATGGCTGCGAAAGCATCTTCCATGTTGTAGAAGGTAACAAAGCCATAGTGGTCGCTAGAAGAACCAGAGACATCACATTACGATGCTGGTAGAGCAACGGAGCAATCGATGAACGTATAGACGATGATGAGCGTAACCGAACTTACCCTCGATCTCTGAAGTGAAGTGACACACATTCCACCACTCCAAACTGAGAGAAACGTTCTCTCAGCTCATCGTGTGTCATTGATTTACGGATTCGGCCGACGTACACGACCCTGCGCTCATCCTGTGTGAAGGATTTAAATATTACAGAACTGCTGTACCACTGAAAAACCACTTCACCGCACGCTGTAATCGTTTACTCACTATGGCTTTAAGTTTCTGAATTCTTATCTCATGTTCCCTCCTCAGCCTCCTGGACTCCTGGCTGCTACGGCGATGATGAGAAAGATGGAGGTTAAACTCAATTAAACAAACACCTACATTTGACTTTGCTTGCATTACGTGACAGCATTAACTCACTTGCACACATCCCTCCAGTGTCTGCGGCATACCCGAGGGGACGGAGATCTGGACTGGGACGGAGACCTGGACCGGGACCAGGATCTGGATCTGGACCTGCTGGAGTAAGACAACCTGTAGCGGCGAGGAAGGGAGCGGGAGTAAGACAGCGACGAGGAGCATGAGCTGCTCTCTGAATGCTTGTGATGGAGCCTGTGAGAAAACCAAAGATAAAAAAGGATGCAGAAAATGTACAAGTACAGAAACTGAATGAGTTTTAAAAAAAGGCAAGTACCTTCGTCTCTTCGAAGATTGAGATCCAGAGCTGGAGGAGGACGATGATGACGAGGAACGAGAGCTGGAGCTTGAGTCAGAGCGTGGAGATCTTCTCCGATATCTCGTCCGCTCCCTCCCTCTGACCAGAGGGCTGGGTGGAGGCGTAGGGAGGGTGCACTGCGGTTTCTTGTTTTCGTTTTCGTCTGAAAACTGCAGATCTTCATCTGTGGATGGTTCTGATCTGGTCCTGGTTTGCTCAGACTTTGTTAGTCCAGCTGAGATCAGTTTTTTGCCTTCAGAAGCAGCAGCTGAGTCCTGAATCACCACCTGCAGCTCAGTAGCGGTTGTAGAAACATCCCTAACTCTGCTATGCTGAGAAGCACTTCCGTGAGGATGATCCAAAGACCCACAATAATCGTGATCAGAGGAAATGTGCAAGTACATGTGAGGAGAAGTGTGAGCGGCAGGCGGCTCTGTATGAGTCCTCCTGGGCGGTAGAGGACGAGGGTCGATTATCTGAATGGTTTTGGACAGAGGAGTTTTCCGTCTTGTGGGCTGATCCTGCTGAGAGCTCAGGATAATTTCAGGGCAGAGAGGTTCGGGGATGACTACCCTGTCTAACGTTTGGAGATCTGGCAGATTCCTGAGGGAGTTTTGTGGTACAGGTGTGACTGAAGCGCTCAAAGATTGAGTTGGTTCCACAGATGGCTTTAATCTGGAATTCTTATCTGAAGCCGTAGGATGAGTTCTGTCCGGATCCAAGACTCCAGGTTTGGGCTCACAAATGATCTCATCTTTAGCTGGAGGAGAAAAAAGAAAGAGCTGATGTTACTGCATGTCAGGAACTGTTAGGGGAGATTTCTTCTCTGAGGCCAGTGTATTCTTTCAGTCGCTTGCAATGGGAGCACTGCGATTCACACTATGCAAAATATACCAGCAAGTGTGAGGAGGCGCTGAGCGTGTTTTTCAAAGTCCCCCCCCCCCCAAAAGTGGGGAAAAAAAGTCTTCAAAAAGACAGACACAAAGAAAAACTCTGAAAATTATAATTGAAAATCACAATAAAATACAAAAACACCCCAAAAAACAGAAAGAAATCATTTGAATCTCTGTTTTATTTTTCAGTGTAACTTTTTTAGAGCCTTTTTTTCTTTTTAAATGCCAAATTATATTTTCAATTTAAACTCTTTATTTTCCAATGGCAACCTACACTGTCTCTGTTTTAACTCAGTAGCAAAGACTTGAACGCAGTTTAACTTTGGGTAAGACGCTGTGCTCATCACTATAATTTTTAACCCAGCCGTCCAATCACAATGGAGGAAGGACGGCAACAAATACTACACTGACAAACCAAATCATTCCAGTTGTACATGTGCTAAATAACGGTTAAACAACAACGGACCTCTCAGTATTCATGTCTATCAGTTGGCATCTATGTATTACAATATTAATATAAAAGAAAATACTTGGAAGTCCTTTTTTTTTTTTTTTGCATACCAGGTATGCAGCAGTTAACTGAGTCCACCTTTTGATCGATACTTGCAACTCATTACATCTGCAGATTTTCCGTTTCCTAGCATTCAAAGCATCTCAGGTATTTTTCAAAAAAGCTACTGCCGTTGTAAGCTGCCAAAAAAATGCTTTAGTTGGACGCACAGACTAACTATGGTGTCATCTTCAGTAACTAAACCACTCACCTTGTGTTTCCTCAAATTGTTCCAGCAGGCTGGTCAGATCAGGAGCTTCAATTCCTAATGGAGAACAACAAACACACTTGAGAAGGTGCCATCTTCAAGTTACTTTTATCACCATTACTTCTAACTCAACGTATCACAAAAGTAGCTTTATATCAACATTTAAGGAAGAAAGTTTGGACAATCTGCCCTGCTTCGTTACATGAGAAGATCAATGGTATTCTCATGTCTGGAAACCTCAAAACATGCTGATGGATTTTTATTTTTAAATGACCAAATAACCATCAGCTTCTTCTAAGTAAAAAATGCAAATTCAAAATTAACTGGAAAATTTCCCAAAAAATAAATAGTTTGCAGCAACCACATTTTGTAAAGCAAAATATTCTGTGCTCTTTGGGGCAACCATCATCGTTATTAGTGACTCAACCTTAAGTCACCATCATGTCCCCACAGTTTACCTGAATCAACTGTTGCTCTCTGGACTATACAGCTGGTTTGAGCAGAAGCTGCTTCCTCAGGAGGACAAACTCTGTGGGGAACATCTGGTTGCTCCTCCTGTACCGATGTGGGATGATCTACGGGAGGAGGAGGCCAACTGGACAGACCCTTTCCTGGTTTCACTGAATCAGGACTTGCAGATGGGGGAATCTTCGGTGGCGGGTTGGCCTCTTTCGTTAGTCTTTTTTGAGGCTGTAGTTTTTCAGTTTGTGCTGGAGATGTAGACAAGACATCTGGAGAATTCTTGGTGAACTTTGTCTGTATTTCTTGAAGCAGTGCAGCGTTGTCTGTGTTCAGTAACGACATTTGGGGCTTTGGTTCTGAGAAGAACGTCTGTCTCTGAAGAGCTGCGGCTGAGGATTCATTTTGGATTTCTTTCAGGCTGGACTCTCTGCTGCTAAACTCCACCTTGGAGCAGGCAACGGACGGTGAAGCCATCTGAGGAACTGGCAGAGGAAGCAGGACAGGATTTGGAGGATCACTACTGAGCAGCAACGGCTTCTTTGCTGGACTCTTCTTGCTTTTTGGGACGATGACGTTTGGGTTTGCTGCAACGTCTGGCAGCGGACTCGCAGGCGAAACGACTTTCGACTTGGTCCTCAGACGCTTCAATCCGCTGCGAGTAGACAGCTTGGCCTCTGAGAAACGATGGGGCGACGTCTTGTGATCAGGTTTATGGGTTTCTGGATGATGATGTGTCGTCTTTGATCTACAGCTGCTGTGTTTCTGTCCCTGCAAACAGAGGATTGGGGTAAGCTCCTTGGGCGGCTCAGAGACCGACGGCCACTTGGTGGTGTAGGTCCCCTGCTTCTCCAACAGGGGCAGCCTCTTCTGCCTCAGCTGTCTGTACTGCTGGAGGCTGAGGGATTTGGCCTTCGTCTCCCTTTTAGGTTTCTGAACTTCGGTCTTAGTACAACTCACCTCTGAGAACACTGTTCGCTGTTCAAGCGCTGAACCTACTGGACTTTCAAGTGCTTTCGTGCTGTTCAGTGGCTCGGTTTCACTCGTGTTCCCACTTGTTACATTTCTCTCATTCAGTGTCTCTTCCACTGAGTCATCAAACGAAGCCACTTGAACAGGACCAAAGCTCACTCTTTTCTTGTCTCTGGATGTCGGAGCTCTGGGTGAGTTTCTATTTAACAAGGCGCTCTTCAGGCCTTTATCTCTTTTCCCATCTGCTTTGTCTTCATCCTTTGTGTCTTTTGCAGGTGCCTCATCATCAGACACAACATTTATCTCCTCATCGCTCTCTTCAGTGGGCCTTTCATACTTCCACACCTCTTCCTGGGAGAATGTGGTGCTATTTTTACTCACTTTATCCCCTTCTTCCTCCATGTGCAGCTTCAGACAGTACGGGTGCATGATCCTCACCAGATTGATCAGAGAAGTGGCGGTGAAAACCTCGACTTCAGCTTCTGCCTTCTTAGTTTTTGGTTGAAACAACATCTGGTTTTGTTTTTTAAATATCTGCGACAGATTATTTTTCTCTTCTTTGCTCTCCTGGTCCTTTTCTCTGTCACTCTTCACTGTGAATGTCACATGTGGCGGTTTGAGTCTTGGTCTAAGTCTGTGAGCAAGTGATAGTTCCTAAAGAGAAGAGAGAAAGAAAAACATTTAGCTCTTTACTGGCTTAGATTTTTGTATTTTTCAGTGTTTTCTGTCATTTTACAACCATATCAGCGATCACTAAAAGAAAATGCATACACTTCTCTTGCAACACTCATTTAAAATATTGATAACTGAACTCAGAGATGAGCTGCTGTCATTTTTTGGGTCACATGTACATTTGTTTCAGTATTGTGATCAATGGCTAATCAAGTCAAGCCTGAATACAACTCAAGAAATCTGGATCTCCAAATTATATTGAACGCATTTGCAATTCAGTGCACTTAAGGTTCAAATATAAAGGTAAATCTGAAGATTCTTTAAATCTATCGGACGCTTAATCACATTTATCAACCTCATCGGTCCCCTTACTCTCTAACAGCAAGTCGTAGTTACCCGTATTCTACAAAGACCTTCTCCTACTCTGCCTCTCATTGGCCAGTATTTGTCGACAAGACAAAAACTTCATGGTCGGAGTCAATCAGAAACAGAGTAGGAGACAGTCTTTGACAAATATGGGTGAGAAACAAAGACAGAAACAGCAGAAGAAAGATGGAGTTAGCCTACAAATTAAAACAAAATGCTGCAGAGACTCTCAGCACAGTGTTTTATTAACTAGTTACTATTTTGGTGCAAACATTTACCCACCAGTGTGGCAGATAACCTTCTGGGATCACACAGGAAAAGGTAAAAAGTACCTGCAACTGGCATTTAATGGGTGTTAATTTCAGATTCTGCATGAGTCATAAAAAGTCAACTGTTACTGAGAAAAAGAACAAACTTTAAACTACCAGACTGGGTCATCTTAAATGTGCATCGTAAATCACTGATGGTTGATTTGATCACCAGCCTGAATGGGACTTCACAAACTGTATATTAATACAATATATTCACATTAAGCGCAGTTTATTAAGGTGCATCTAGTAATTTTTCTATCACATAATATGCTAGGCTGCAGGGTGGCTCAGTGGTTAGCGCCGTCACCTCGCAGCTAGGTCACCAGTTCACGTCCCGGTGAAGTCAGCTGGGATAAGCTCCAGCCCCCTGCGACCCTCGTGAGGAATAAGTGGTGTATAGATAATGGACATCATATGTAAATCAAAAAAATGTTTAAAGTTTATAATTCTGAGTTCATGAGGAACTAAGAAGTAGTGCTGTTTGACAAACTTAAATGGATTTTGTTTGATTCTTTTAACCAAACTATTGTCTTTACGCACCACTGATGTGTCCCTGAGTTCAGTGTGGTTGAGGAGCTTCGTGTCCGGCAGGGTGTCGAAGGGAGATAGAGTGTGGTCATCATCCTCCACGCTGTCCAGCATCTCAGTCAGAGCAGAGAGCAGCGTTGCACTTTCCTCCGCTCCAATCTTACCCTGATGCAGGAAAACAGAATCCAGATTTAGTGATAGACCATCGAATTCTACCACCATGCTGTGCTTCCGTGGGTGTTGATTTTGTTGCCAGAAGGGTAGTGACTGGCAGCCAGTTCACGCAGATCTGTTTACACCTCAACAGGGCCGACCTGCGACATGGCCAGTAGCCTTTCCCCTCATATCGAAAACAGAAAAACACATGAGGAAAGAGCAGCTGCCTACAGATTGAGCTGTTTATATATCTAAGGGGCAAAGTGTTTGAATATAGCAGAGGATTTCCATTCAAATGAGGACTTGCTGCTGTATTTGGGCTCTACTGGTGGAACAAATCAAAGTTTATGCAAAGTCCAGCAGCGACTACATAAATTACAACTTTTTAAATGATGAATTTTACAGGTGTAGAAGACAGAGCACCTCCTCATATAGCGTTTCTTCATGCTAAATATTTGTTTTAAGCACATGTGCAGTAGTTACACTTTTGGACAGTCCATGCCGATCGATGAAATTTACATCAAGAGCACCTTTCAGGACGTTTATGCAGAAAGCATGAATTTCCTTCAACAGTGTGACTACAACAACATATCAAGGGATGTTTCAGCTGATCATTCAGATTAATCTGCTGTAACTCTGACCTCGGATGCAGCAGTGGAATCTTCAAAAATAGCCAGGATAGAATGATCCACACAGGACTGTGTGTCCATGTCCACGCCGTCCACGTCACCGCCACACAGCACCAACTGCAGACACAAAGAAACATTATTTAGTTCATCCCACGTCATGTGGATTTGCGTTCACTCTCAACAGGCCTGTTTCTGCCTCCTGCTTTTCTTAAAACACGCTGCTTCCTCTGGGTGTGACCAGAAGCTGAGAACACAAAAAGCTCGATATTAATTTTTTTCAGGAGAAACAGGAAGAACCGCCTGCTCTGGAAAAAGCTTCAAACACTGCCACGAGAAACAGCAGTGCAGAGCTCGTGTTGGATTTGTGGTTAGAAAGCAACAGGCTAAATACAGTAACAGAGACGTGCCTCTGTGGACGTTAGAATAACAGTAAATCAAGTTTTTAGAAGACAAAGGTGTTGTTCTGCAACTAACAACATTCTGGATCAATCCATTGATCTTCAGAAAATATCAGAAAATAATGGAAAGAAATGTTGATATTCAATAACATTCTTAATACCATGGGGAGAAATATAAAATCTGGCACAGATTGGCCTTTACTATGACTATGCATGGTTGTAAGCATGACTGGTCCACACACAGTAAAAGCAATGAGTCTGTGTTACCTTATTTGCCTGAAATCTATTCATCTTCTTGTTGTTTCTGACAGTTTAATAAACAAAAACATTCATTATGCTTCAATACATGAAACCCCAATTAACAAAAACTGGTGAAACGAACAGAATTGCTTTTATTCTTTATTGCTATCCGTCTGGTCGTGATTTACTTTTGATGCTGGTTAAAATATACTTTTGCAGACACTAAAAACTTCCTCTATGCAAGAAAAACTCATTTATTACAAGGTTAATATACCAAGGCTGAAACATGACAACAAGGTTTGCATTACTAAAAAAACTCTTGAGGGAGCTCACTCGATCAAAAGCCACAGGTGTAATAAGCAATAAAGCGAATTTAAAAAGCAAAGTGCAAGTTACTAGGAAAGAAGTGCAATAATTTTAAAGTCACATCTTAGTTTGACGACTGCTCTAATTAGCTATATAAGTTTGCAGAAACACAGAATTGTATTGTAAGTTCTCAAAGTTTTCTTCGATGTATTGATACTAGAGAAAATGACATTTTAAACTCAGCCTGAGCTGAATCAATGTGAAATCAAACTTGTGATTTTAAAGAATGCATTTAGCAAATGTTAAAGGCTTCAATTTATACTTATATATATATTATATCATATGAATCAGTTCAGGGGGTTAACTGTCCTAGCAGTAGTTTTATAATATCATGCTGTCCTCTGTGTGTGTGATTGTCACACGTTGGATGGTGTCTGATGTGGTAATGCTCCATCACTTGTTTTAAATCTATTACACAGTGAATGCTTGATTATGAAAAATATATCTATCCAAGATTCATAGCTGTCAGAAAAACTGCAATTCAACACTTCACAAAGCCCGAATCAGCCCAAATCAAAAAATTTGAAAGTGATCACAACTGATATAAATTGATTTTTAAAGATTTTCTCGCCTGGTTGTGCAAAATATCTCTGGATTTTCAGTGCCATGGTTCGGGTTAGGGGAGAATCTGGACGAGCCGCAGCGAGCTGATGCCTTCCAAAAACTCCCAAGGACACTTCGACTGAGGGGGCGGGGATCGAACCGCCAACCCATCAGAGGACAACCGCTCTACCACCTGAGCCACAGCCGTTCAGGGAGGAATTTTAGAAACTATTTTGTCTATAAATGCTGTGGAATTAAGTGGATCATGCAACAAATGTGTAAAAATCCTTAACTTAATAATGACTAATAGGAATGAACCATAATTAAAGTCGTATGATTTACATTTAAAGAGCAACAGGACCACTGTACAGGGAATTTAGAGCAAACTAACTGCAGAGTAAACCCTCATTTTAAAGCTGTTTAAGTTGATTTAGTGCGAAATGAGGCCGATTAAAGGGACAGAAGGTCAACATCTGCACAACACCAACAGCTGTCAGGACCTGCAGGACTTTAACCAGGCGTCCATGAGTCAGTAGGGCAGGTCAAATGAGGCTTCAGAGAATGAAAGACAGACTGACCACGGTAAGGAAGAGTAACTGAGATCCGATCAGTGTGCAGCCTCGTCTGAACACGTTGTACTACAGCAGAAATAAAACCGATCCGCTATCAGCTTCAGCTGCTAATATTCAGCTACACACAGATACACACAGTCTGTCTGCTCATGAGGCTGTTGTTGTCCGGACACGGCAGCTGATCGATCAGCTCTGATCAGCTCCCCACTTTTACTACGAGCATCTTTAAGCCACGTGTCGCCATTGCGCGCATGTGGCCTCGCGTGCCGGCGTCAGCGCGCCCGAATAAATCACCGAAAACCGGCAGCGCGCGCCTCATCACGCGCCCCGTTAACTAAAGTGAGGAAACCGGTACCTCGGCGGGAGTGTTGCCGGTCAGGAAGGCGCCACCGCCGGGGTTTAAAGCGCCGTCCTCGCCCCTCCACCGCGCCGCCATCTTGCTCCTCCACACGGACCGCTGGCAGGCCGGACGAAGACACGTGGTCACCGGCCGGAGGCGCGAAAGAGCGCCGACCTGAGATCAGACCCGGAAAAAGTAGATCCGTTACCAGGACCCGGAGGAGACTGTGAAAAATCTGATCCCCGGTCAGCTTGGCGGCCACGTGGTACTCATTGATCACGATCTGGTTTTAACTCGGAAAAGAACTTATTTTATTTCAATATAAAACACGCGAATTGTTATCTGTTTGAACTAATTTGAAGGTTTTAAAAAAATCACAGAAAAATTCTATATGAATAAGAATTTGTTGTTAGAACTTTTAATTCTGGGTTTTTACAGTTTCATGCTGTTTATTAGGTTGCTCAATAGCGACACCTAAAGTCCAAACAAGTTCAACTCAGCTGTTCCATCCTGTAAAATATCCATCTATCCATTCCTTTAATGTGTCGCATAATTTTTTTGGTGCTTATATTATTCTATTTTTATCAGCTGGTGTCGGCTGTATAGATTTGTTAGACGCTGCGTTGATTCTGGACTTGATAAAACCCACCAGCAGATGTCTTTAGATAAGATCAACTTTATTCATTCTGACGAAAACAGTTTTTGGCCGAGTACAACAAACAAAGGTTAGAGAAATATACACGATTAGATTGATAGATTAAACCTTTATTGATCCCGCAGCGGGGATATTTTAAGTGTTACAGCAGCAAATAGAAAATAACACACAGTACAGGAGAGCACAAAGCCGCAGTACAAAAAGAGCTGCACACAGTGCACAGATATAAACAGATTGCTTTCTCCTCCTAGAAGAAGTATAAGTGTTTACAGAACTAGCGACCATAGTCAAATGCATTCCTGGGGCCAGAGCGGGCGACACTGAATTATATTTAAAACTGCTGGCTAAGGATAAGAGTAAATACAGTAAGATTGTAATTGACGTCGGCGGTAATGACACCCGATTACGGCAATCGGAGGTCACTAAAATTAATGTTGAGTCGGTGTGTAAATTCGCTTAAACTATGTCGGACTCCGTAGTTTTCTTTGGACTCCTGCCCAATCTGATCAGTGATGACATGTACAGCCGCATGTCATCATTCAACCGCGGTTGTCGAGGTGGTGCCCAGAAAACAATGTGGGCTTAGTAGACAATTGGAAAACTTTATGGGGAAAACCTGGTCTCATTTGGAGAGACGGCGTACATCCCACTTTGGATTGTGCGGCTCTCTTATCTAGGAATATGGAGACATTTATTAGAAAAACAAACCCCTGACAGTCCACAGGTGAGACCAGGAAGCAGAGTTGCAGTCTTACACACTCCTCTGCTGCTTCTCTATGGCTCACCCTCCCAATATCTTATAGCGACTGTGTCTGCCCCCCGACCACCCAGGTTCTATAAGTCTAACTTTAATAATAGAAGGGCTGTTCACAACAACCTTCTCCAAATGAATACAACTCCATCAGAATCCAAAAACAGGACAATTAAATGTGGACTGTTAAACATTAGATCTCTGTCATCTAAGTCTCTTTTAGTTAATGATCTGATAACAGATCATCATATTGACTTAATGTGTCTGACTGAAACCTGGCTGTAGCATGAATAATATGTTAGTCTAAATGAATTAACTCCCCCAGTCATATTAATTATCATGTACCTAGAAGTACAGGCAGAGGGGGAGGAGTGGCAGCAATCTTCCACTCAAACCTATTAATTAACCAGAGACCAAAACTTACTTATAATTCGTTTGAAAGCCTTAGTCTTAGTCTCACTCACTTGAATTGGAAAGCACAAAAATCAGTTGTGTTAGTTGTTATATATCGGCCACCGGGCCCCTACTCTGAGTTTCTATCTGAATTCTTCCTTGCTTGTATAAAAGCTATTTAGATGGCATGCCATCTAAAACAATACAAACAATATATGTTGAATTGTGTACACACAATTTGAATTTACTGTCGCCATTGGTGTATGAATGTGTGTGTGAATGGGTGAATGAGAAACATTGTAAAGCACTTTGAGTGCCGCAAAGGTAGAAAAGCGCTATATAAGTGCAGACCATTTACAATAATGGACTATGGAGCACCTACCAAAGAGTTCCATTACAGTAGATGTCTCTCCGAAAATGCAGTTATTAAATTTAAGGAAATGGTTCCACTATTATTTACTTCAATGCCATATGCCAACACAATGGAGAGCAGTTCCTCTAATCTTAGTCCCACACAGGTGGACAATCTTGTTGATAGAACTGCAGCTTTACTGTGTTCATCAATTGATGCTGTTGCCCCATTGAAAAAGAAGGCAATAAATTCTAATAAAATAGCTCCATGGTATACTCAACAGCTTCGCATCTTAAAACAGAAATTAAGAAGGTTAGAAAGACAGTGGCGCTCGATCAGTTCAGAAGAATTTCATCTAGCCTGGAGCACTGTAGCCAGGCTGACAAAGAATCACAGCTCTGTGGAGCCTTGTGTTCCTTAAGCTCTCAGCAGTGAAGACTTTATGACCTTCTTCACTGATACGGTTTTGAATATTAGACAAAAAATTATTAGCATGTCTGTAGGTGCAGCAGCTCTGGTTGCATCCATAGGACCAGATTTATACTTCTTTATACTGCTTCTCTGCTGTAAATCTGTCAGAGCTCACGTAAATTCTTCTAAACCAGCGACATGTCTGTTAGACCCAGTCCCAACTGGACTGTTCAAGGAAATTTTTCCTCTAATAAATACGGCAGTATTAAATATCATCAACTTCTCTATATTAACAGGCTATATACCGCAGGCTTTTAAAGTAGCTATAATAAAACCATGACTCAAAAAGCCTACTCTAGTGGCAGGCATTTTAGCTAACTATAGGCCCATACCCAACCTCCCTTTTATTTCTAAAATTCTTGAAAAAGTTGTTGCAAGCCAACTATGTGATCATCTGCATCGAAATGGTTTGTCTGAAGAGTTTCTGTCAGAATTTAGAATGCATCATAGTGCAGAGACAGCACTGGTGAAGATCACTAATGATCTTCTTATAGCAGTGGACTACTTTCTATACTCGTTCTGCTGGATCTCAGTGCTGCATTTGATACAGTGGATCACAACATCTTATTACAGAGACTGGAATGTTTAATTGGGCTTAAAGGAACTGCACTTAATTGGTTTAAATCATACTTATCAGACAAATTCTAGTTTGTTCATGTTAATGATGATTCTTCCACCCACAGTAGAGTTAGTTGTGGAGTTCCACAGGGCTTTGTGTTAGGACCTATATTATTTACCTTGTACATGCTCCCTTTAGGCAATATTATTAGGAAGCATTGCATAAATTTCCACTGTTATGCAGATGACACCCAGCTATATTTATCTATGAAGCCAAATTAAACCAATCAGTTGGTCAGACTCCAGGCATGTCTGAAGGACATAAAGGCCTG